AGATGCAATTTGGTGAATAATAAGCAGAAAATTCTAATGCTAATATGACGATTTCAGAACTAAGTAAACAAATCATCAAGTTAATTAATTAGTGGTGAATATTGTTAAGTGTTCTACTTTTATGAAGACGATACGATCGATCTAATGGCGACGTCTATTATTATGACCAATTACACCAGTGATTGTTGCTTTGTAACAAAACGCACTTTCCGCTGTCTCTGACCAAGGGCTTGCTCACGTACACACGTTTGTCTCGCCTGAAAACTTTGGCAAGATCTCGATATTATTTCGATACCACGAGATCGCCAATAAATGTGTCCTAACCGCGATCACAGCTGTCCTTCGAAGATTGCTCTTATGCAGGGATCTAAACTGATAATTGGTACATATTTTGTCCGTAGTGGTGATCATAGTCCGTTTCGACTCGACGACGCTCCGCTAGAATTGTGTGAGAGGACAGACGTATAAGCAACGAAGATGAAACAGAGACAATAAGCGAGATAGATTAAGTTGGTGGCACGAGGAAACGACATTAATAACAACTGGCAAGTTTGGAGATATGCATCAGGCACATATTGTTCAAAATAAGATGATAATTCGGATGTGAATAGGTGTTTACCCAACACCTTCTTGAAGCTAACCGCTAAGAGGGCTGTAGTCACTTTGGTTCGGAAACTATAACAAGTTGGGACAACTCTTAATGAGACAAAGTGCGCATGAAACTGGGTGTTAGCTTTGTGATATGCTACTTTGTGTGGGTTACCTCCATCGGCATGGTAACGATGCTTTGTCAAGATGTTCATGTTTGGATGATTTTGCGTGTTTAATATGTCGTAAGCAATTATCAAGTCATCTTTGATTCTATGTAACTCAAAATAAATAACCATGTATGCTAGGTCTGTTTTTTCAACCAGCTTTATCCATTTAGCAGCTCGTCTCTCGATTCGATGCAAGGGATTTAAGTCTGTGCGTTTGTGTTAAAGTGATTTGAGAACTGCTGTGGGGTGAGGAAGGTTGACCATAACGTGACATTTCGACGGCAGTTAATAAATATCATCAAAGAAAGAGAACTTGTGAAACTCTCGATGTTGAAAGTTGCTAACTCGCGTGCAATCTATTCAACTTGATGCGAAACTTTTATTCTCTAGGTAATTTCTGAGCTTAGGCCGAAGTGGGTCAGTGAAGCCCATTCCTGCGACTTTTGCTATTTGGAGTGCATGAGGTACTGTATGAAGTCACGAAATGTTCTGTGAACCGGTATATTTCGGTTCCAGCAAGTTGTCCACTTTATCCAAGCTGTGAGAAAACTGTATGCTCAGGATCTGACTTCCGTGAACTCCTGTTCAACTTCTTGTGAGATTCTGTTCCTATCCATATCCTCGCTCATTTGTTCAGAACCAGTCTTTTCATTACTTCCTACAGCATTGCTATTGATATTACTTGTCTGTAACAGGCTGGAGAGTATGTAGCTTGTTTTCATCCAGCTGGGAGTAGCTATGATTCCAGTAACTGCATTAACTGGTCTCCTACCGACGAACTGAGGGCCTCCTCACACTGTTTTAAGGTCAGAGTGCGAATATTGTCACATACTGGTTACTTTCCTGTGCACAACGATCATAGTCTTCTTACTACTAAACCGGGCGTAATTCGGATATTCTCTACACCATCAGCCAGCACTAAATTTCATTAGTAATGTATATCTTTAATGATCTGGTTTAACTGGTCAGTGTTGTCAATAAATATTTCAGCCATTTCTCGTCTGAGAAGATCTTCACTACTTGTATATTTGACCACACAAGACTCCGATTCGTAGGTTTTATTTAAGTCATGAACCTATACATATATTTCGGCAGGTAGCCACGACTGAATGCATCTACTTTCACTTCAAACCTTATCAATACCGAGTCAGAATCATCTAAAGGACCTTCCACGTGAGCCAGGCACTCCTCTACTTCAGTAGCAATCATCCATTGACTCGCCTAATTTGTCTTTTTCTTTCCAGGTGTTTGATATGCTTGAGGTTCATATTGTGTGGAGAGAATCTTGATGAGATCTCTCTTTATTTGCGGTGGTCATTCTTAACCTCCACTATTTACGAGGTCACGGGACGTTCAGAAGATGCTCTTTCATGCACGTGTATTTTTATCCCTACTGTAGCGAATGTAGAAGCGTTTTCACCCCTCTTGAATATTTCGTTTATGAGCACGTTAAAAAAGACTGAGCCGTGGTCGCTTCTTCATGTTTGCGTTTAGAAATGGTGATCCTCAATTAGAAGCTTACTTCTTGTCTACAAATAATTCACGATCAAGTGTTACCATTCTTACTGCATCTAGTGGCATTACGAACATGTCAAATTTCTCCGGAGATTTTCATAGCGGTACGACGTCAGCTTTGGGAATAAACTGTGGTAGCTGTATCCTCTTTTTTCAGAAACTTAGAAGTAGAGTGTTTTCATGAGTGCGTAAACCTTTTCGGTCCCGTGTGGTTAAGCGTTCATAACAGAAGACTGCTTTTATAATAACACTTCTAAACATCTATTAATCATTCAATGCTTGTTTCCATGGTTCTTCTGAACAAAAGTCTTATTACTGATAATACCTCATGACTGTGTAGTATTTTATATTCTACCAACAGTAAAGCGAATTCTAGCGCCCCTGGAGAAGTCTACTGATGCCATGTTCAGTCTACTTGCTCCATCTTCAGTACTCCCTATTAGAAATTGCTTTTTATAATGTTAACACAAGGTGTCACATTACATTTTTCAGTTCTCTCAGTGTTTTGACAAAGCATTCGCAAAGATTTTTAATAGAAATACCAATTTTGATCATAGTTTTGCATTGTTTGCTGGTTATCTGCTTTTACATTCGACTGTGTAGCATCATTTACCTGAAGCTACTTTTTGCTGTGCTAGTTTACTAGTAGATCGAAAAAAACCACTGCAATCGTTTGTGTATAAGTTTTGTAAATTAAAGCGGTTCAGGATGCTCAAAAGACATTTATAGTCTAGTTTATTTTATGGTACATGCATGAAAGACTGAAAATCCACCAATGCAAATAATATTTTCCAAGTCTGCTACTTTTAGCTACACTCTGTACTAATTGCTAAGTGATGCAACCAGACACGTATCAAGAACATAAGGATGTTAAATGGTTAACCATGGTACGTTTTATCTGTGGATTGCTCAGTCACGCATCCTAAGTAGTTTTACATATTGAACAGAGTAAATACTGACATCAATCTATATCATCGACCTTTAACTATCTAAAAATAAATTGATGTGGTTTGAAGTGCAGTAATTAACATTCAACATAACGAAAATATTTTTAATAAGTCACAGATTTCTTATCTTACAATCATCTACGCATTTTTACCTGTGATCCTCGAAATCTGAAGGCTATGTGGATGTGACCGTCAGCAATACACGCGCGCAAGCTGGAAAGTAAAGAAGGCAGTTGTAATCACTGTATCTCCTAAAATACATGCATCAGTTCCATTATGTCGTAGAAGAATAGTGTCCAAGGGTCATACACCATGGTGTATGGGTCGATTAAGAAAAACTCATGTCAAGGCTTAACGTCTTAGATTTGCGTAAAGTCTGTACTCATGGATAAAACTGCTGTTTATAGGATAAATGGCCCACACGTTGCTGATTAAGAATCAGCATACATCGGAACAACTTATTCACTGTTTGTGGTCAAAGAAAGATGTTTCCACGTGCTTATCATGCCTCTCATACATAATCTTCATTAAATATATTTATATATTCCAAATCATATATATATATATATATATATATATATATATATATATAATGTTGTACTAATAATGCGTGAGTGAGATAGCTGAAGTTTCGGTAACAATGTGTGATAATTCTTTCGGATTTCTTATTATCCCCTCCCGCATTATATTCCATTGAGTAACTTTTAGATTGTGATAACGTAACGTTACAAATGGACGTGACTACTTTAATTTTTTCTGTAACAATGTATGAAATGCATTACATCATTGGTCATCTCCATGACTTTCAAAGTTAATTAGACGAGCTCGAGAGATTACAGTTTACTGCACCTATTTTCGTTCGGACTAGATTGACTGCCTAGCCTATTACATCATACACCTTCAGGCAGTTTGGAAATTTCCTCAAACTTAAACCATTATAGCACCACACGGATCGCATGATAATCTTATGTTAGAGACTTCATGCATGTAAACAGGAAAGGTTTTAGAAAATAGTAAGAGTCTTTACCATCTTGCACAGAGCTTCTACAATGAGAAATAAAAACAAATAGCACAATGTTCTAATCCAGCCTGCTACTAACCAAATGATGGTAAGTTAAATGTATGTTGACAGCATTTAAAGATGAGGACCTAAAGTGAACACAAAGTGGAAATGTCAAGACTGAACACAAAAGTATCCTAAACTGCAGAAGAGTAGGTGGATGTTATAAGCTGGTGAAAATTATAACATCAAAATTACGCAACATAAAGAAAAATAACTTCTCAACTGGCTCTGTATTATTTAGAATACGTAAATCACAATCAAGTTACCAAAAGTCCTTCATGGTGATGAACGATAATTAGCTTAGTAAAGTTCAATAAACTAACAAAAACGATACAAGCACAGTAAAAAGGAATAAATTTATGTCATTTCGAACATAAGTAACTGATCAAACAGTGAAAATAAACGAATACAAAGGAAAGACAAAACACTGAAGTCATATTGGTTTACAGTGACGAGTTGTATAATGTAAACCTGCTATAACAGCGTGGATCTGATTAATTACCAAAATTATATGCTGCACTGTGTAACAGACACTAATGCCTCAGAGACGTTACAAGATTGTCGAACCCACGGAAAGGCCATATATAGTGGAGTTGAGTAGTTTGAATACAAATTACCCGAAATCATCAGACGCCTGAGACCGTATGGAACTGACAAGAAGCGAGCGTAAAAGGATCATACGGTTATACACAGTAGTTACTAATGTATTGTATACTGGATAGGCTCAAGGACACTTACAAATACCGCGACACTTGAGCTAGGCGCCATGATCTAACTACCCGGTGCTAATTCTTAAAGGTGAGGCTAGTCACAAGGTCTTTTTGGTTACAAGGGCGTGTAAGAATTTGCTGGTCTAAATCAAAAACTGTAGAACAATGAATCGAAAACTTACTGTAACTGTACTGGAAGAACAAATCGCAAGGAGATTTAGAGCAACTCGTCAAACCGATTTTGGAAATAACTAATAAACTAAGTCTCCAGTCGATGCTTCGACGACTTGAAGTGCAATACTTTATTAGACTTGACTTAAGTTTGTCGAATAACAGTCTCAGTTACTTGACTATAAAAGTGGACCAACGTATTATAAGGAGCTGCAGCTACGCGTAGATATATTCATTCATGGAAGTCAACCTCCAGTTATATAAATGTCTAAAGATATCTATAAATTTAACCTTAAGATTAAATCCAGTATCCTATTGATTGCGCCCGAAAGGTACATATAATTGTGCCGTCAATCTATTTGCGATCAGGTACTAGCTTATGTTCTCAGCTTCAAGCCAAATTTTCATCTGTAAACATTTATTCAAACTAGTCGGTCAGTTACAACGTAGAACCCCTCACGTAAGTGCATAAGTTCAGGTTGCCATAGTGTATTAGCAGAGACACGCAGTTGTCAGCTCAAATCCCATTCATATAGATAGTAGTAATAGCGGTAAGAAAGATTATTGTGCGAAGAGACTATTCAAGAAGTATGATTCAGAGAAATAAACTTAAAAAAAGAGGAAAACACATTCAAGAAAAATTCGGAAGATTAGAATTCCATAGAACGTAGAGTAGATGCACCTGTGCCATCGCAAACGACTTTGAGCCATCATTCAAGGTATCTAGCCGTTGGTTACTGTCATCTCGCGGACCCCAACTTGGTAGTCTACATCTGCCAACATGACTCAGTCCACCTGTCAGTGACTTCATGGATTTGCAATATGCTTTGGTTTGGCCGCCCCTTGGTTTCTTCCAACCTATTCCTACACCTGAAAGCATAGCTCGACGAGGGAGTCAGTGGTAAGGCCTATGTGACATATGTGCCAACCACCTCAACTGATAGAGTTTAACAACTTCATCCAAACTGAAAATGTTTGCATTAAAATATTTGAGTGTCAAACGCTTTAACTTTAGATCGAAAGCATGATGTTTGCATTTATGACTTGCACATATCTTTTCGTCAATAATCTTATTAACCTTTTGCTTTAAAGGCTGAAAAAAAGTTGTTTTACCATTAGACTAGGTTGGAATTTGTTTGATTAAATATTTCCATTTAGTTTTCGTTAAATTGTGTACTATCCGGATGTTCTTTTGTAGACCAATAAATTGGCTTGTTTTAAAATCATAACTGTAAACAAACAAATATTGTGACAAAAATGTCGGCCAAAAGTGATAAGGCCGTCGAAAGGCAAATGCAAATGTTTGAAATTGAAATGATGCAACAAGTATTTACCAACATGACAAATAGTTGTCTAGCTAAATGTATTCCTTCTAACTATAATGATGGTGATCTTACTAAAGGTGAAGCAGTCTGTCTAGATAGATGTGCCTCAAAATTCATGCAAGCATATATGCAGACCACCAAAAAGTTGTCCACGATGGCATCACCTGACCCAAAAGCGGTAAGCAGTAACTAAATACGCTCATTTAATAACCTGAGAATTAAACTGTACAAAAAATATCTTATTTTTTGTATGATATTACAGTTGTAAATTAGTTATATTTTTCAAACACAATATCAAAATAAAGATTCTGCACCCCGTGTTTATTTTCTTTCTCATAGATAGCTAATGAATTGTGTTAATCAGGTGTTATTAAGCAATTAGTTGAAGTTTGATTTTATAGTGAACAACATTCCTCTCAAGTTGAAAAGTCAATCTTCCCTTCTGAAGTAAAAAAGTAAAATATTTTAATCATCCTGTTGTAAGAATCACTGGTGTATGCTTAACCCTTTCAGGTTTCATGTTAAGATTTTAAAAATTGATTTTGAATTTATAGTTAGACGTTTATGACCCGGCACTCGTCAATTGAAGCTGGTCTCTGGTTCATCTTTTGGCTATCAAGTTCCTTTGAATACTTTGATAAATGTCGTAACAGGCATATAATATGGAATAGCTAGTATCGGGACATGAATTTAATGGGGCTAGAAGTATTAGTCTAAAATGATTCTTGAATGTAAGTAAGAATCTGTGTTTTAAGAACAGTGGGTTTACACTAGGGCAAGCGTAGGCTGATAAAAAGCTAATGCAATGATCGCGAACAATGATGGGTAGTGAAAACTTATCACGTGAACCGGTGTTAGGAATCTGACTGTTAGAGAGATAATCTCGGAAAAAGATTGGTTTATTATTCATTCTCAATCCATGAGATTGGTTCGATGGGAAAGACACTTCAGGGATCATTCCAACTGGCCTTCATCCACACTCCGGTTACCCACGATCTCCAGTCAGCCTAAACGGCAAATCGATGTAAGTCCTTCGACTCCTTATGAAGTGGAGAAAGGTGTAGGAAATCTTAAAAGAGGGAGAGCTGCGCGACCTGATAGGCTTACCCTTGAAATTTATAAGCACAGTGGTCCAGTTTTAGCAGTTAGATTGACTGAGATCTTAAATAGAATTTGGGAACTGAACATAATACCATCTGATTGGTCTCAATCACTGCTTGTCCCGGTCTAGAAGAAAGGAAATGAGTCCTGTGACAATCACAGAGGAGTCAGTTTAGCTAGCATAGTGTCTAAATTGCTAACCATGATTATACTTAGACGCCTAATCACAGCTCGTGAAGGGTAGACTCGAGAAAACCATGCTGGATTCAGACCCGAAAGTGGCTGTGTAGATCAGATATTCAAGCTGCTTCAGGTCCTAGAGCATAAACACATTCAGACGTCCCACAGTAGTGTTTCTTGACATTAAGACGGCATTTGACTCTATCGATCGTGAGGACCTATGGCAGTGTCTATCATTGAATGGAGTACATTAACCTTATTCAGGCTTTCTACTTGAACACCACAACGAACTGTCATCGAAACTCATTACCTCATTGTGTTCGTCAAGGTTACCCACTCTCTTCATTCCTATTCAACTTTGTCATAGATATGATTTTAGAAATAACACTATCCTCGTCTTATTTTCAGGAATCGGACTTCTAACGAGAGGTTCACTTGTTGACTTAGAATATGCCGATGATATACTTCTGTTTGATGAAGACACTGTCAAATGCTGAGTCTTCTGACCACCCTAAGCAATAATGCAAGCATGCTCGGGGTGCGGTTTTCCCCCTCGAAATGCAAAATGTTGATTCAGGATTAGGTTGCATTGGCACCTGAACTAGTGATAAATCAACAACAACGTGGAACTTCGTGCTTAAGTACAAACTAGTGATAGGGAGTGAAGTAGTTGAGCTTGTTGACTGCTTCACTTATCTCGTTAGTTTCGTCAGTGTTGATGCTCTGATGACTGACGAAATCTCGCTAAGGATACAAAAGAGTCGATTGGCTTTTGGTGAATTGCGTCACCTATGGCGTAGGCTGACTGAAGGACGAGTATACTGTGCAGTAGTTCGCTCCGTCCTACTTTATGGCTGTGAAACATCACCGGTAAGAATTGAGAATATTCGTAGGTTATTAGTATTTGATTATATTTGTCTTTAAAGCATTGCTCGTGTATCATGGCACAACTGAGTAGGAAAAAGGTACTAGGTAAGGATGGAAAATCAATGGATCAAGTAATGAATCTCCATCAGTTGAGGTGATTGACTCATATTGTGGTGTGAACTACTTATAAGTAGTATGTAACGTGAGTGTCAACGTAATGTCTGGCAGCAGAAGATGGGGGAAGATCAAGAAAGGAAGAGTTAGAACACAATGGGATTTGTATGAAACGCATGAATAATGACAATGGATTGATGTTTTGCAACAGGAACAGTCCAGTTCGATAGGATGAACTGATATTTTGCAAATTACCGATTTACGATATGGTTTTTCGATTTTACTGAGTAACTCTGTAATTTTCGTTAAATACAGTCCGGTTGCCCCACCTGTGTTCTCATTCGCTACAATATGTCACGTAGGCCTTGCCACTGACTGACTCGTCGAGCTATGTTTTGCGGTGTAGGAGTAGGTTGGAAGAAAGTTAGAGGCGGCCAGACCAAAACATGGCACAAATCCATGAAGTCACTGACAAGCGGACTGCGTCATGTTGACTGCCTGGTTGGTGCCTGCGAGATGATAGTAATCGACCTTGAATGACACGGCTAAAAGTCGTTTGCAATGGCACAGATGCATCCACTCTGTGTTCTCCGAAATTCTAATCTTCTGAATGCCTAATCGCCTCTATCTTTCTCTTTCTAAATTTATTTCACTGAATTATACTCCTTGAATAACATCTTCGGACTGTGATCTTTACAATTATTGCCAATACTTCTACTGCATCTGCTATAATGGGATTTGAATCGACAATTGCATCTATGTGCTAATGTGGTATGGCTGACTGACTTACAATTAGGCTCATTGACCATATGTCTGGAATTACAAACTAGTAATTGTCAATATTATATCACCCTTTGAAGGTGATAGTATGCTAATTACTAAAATAGGGGCTATGCTGGAAACTGTTTCGTCATTTTGGGGATCAAGCCATGGTTAAATAGTTTCTTTACAATACATTCGCAACTCCTAGACAATTTTTAAGTGAATTGTTTTCCATAAGACTTAGTATTACTTGATAAGAAAACGTAACTTTTACACATAGTTCCATCTGAACACATGAAGAAAGTTCCAATCGTCTTTCCTAAAAAATAACATTATAGTCTGAATTATGTGTGTTAAGTGGTTTAGGGTTTGTATGCGTTTCAGGATCTGAAAACCAGGCTGATTTCAGACCTGGACGTGGCTATATAGATCACATTTTCACTCTACGACAGGTCCTGGAACACAGACACACATTTGGGCGTCCGACAATAGTTCTCTTCCTGGACCTTAAGGCATTTGACTCTGTGGCTCGTGAGGTTCTGTGGCAGTGCCTGTCATTAAAAGGAATAGCAAAAAAGTACATTAACCTTATACAAGCTCTGTATTCGAACACCAATGGTCGGGTGAGAGCCTATGGCGAACTGTCATCGGGATTCTCTACTTCAAGTGGTTTCCGTCAGGGATATCCTTTCTCTCCATTCTTGTTAAATCTTATCATAGTCATGCTCCTAGAAATAACCTTATCCTCGTCTGAAATTTCGGGAGTGGACCTTCTACCAGAAAAATCGCTTGCTGAATTGTAATATGCCGATGACATAGTTCTATTTGGTTAAGATGCTGACAAAATTCAGTCTTCTGACAACCTTAAGTAACAATGCAAGCGTGTTCGGGATGCGGTTTTCCCCGTCGAAATACAAAATGTTGCTTCAGGATTGGCTTGCGACTTCACCGGAACTAGTGATAGTGAGTGAAGTAGTGGAACGTGCAGACCGCTTCACTTATATTGGGGGTCTCATCAGTACTGGTGACTGACGAAATCTCAGCTCGGATACATAAAGCGCGATTAGCTTTTGCCAACCTGCGTGACTTATGGCATAGGCGAGATATCCATTTGCTGACTAAAGGACGAGTGTACTGTGCAGTAGTTCGCTCCGTCCTACTTTATTGTTGTGAAACAAGGCCAGTGAGAGTAGAATGTATTCTTAGGTTACTGTTTTTCGATCATAGGTGTCTTCGAAGCATTGTTCGAGTACCATGGGACACCCGAGTAAGCAATGCTGTTGTTAGGAAACGGGTGCTAGGTAAGGTTGGCAGGTCAATAGATGAAGTAATGAAACTCCATCAGTTGAGGTGGTTGGGACATGTGTTGCGTATGCCTAACCACCGACTGCCTCGTCGAGCTGCTTTGTGATGTAGGAATAAGTTGGATGAAAGCTAGGGGCGGCCAAACCAAAACGCGGCACAAATCCGTGAAGTCACTGACAAGTGGACTGAGTCATGTCGATAGTTGTCGACTACCTGGTTGGGGTCGGCGAGATGATAATAATCGATGGTTAGGGACCCTGAATGACATGGCTCAAAGCTGTTCGCAATGGCGCCGGTGCATTTATTCTCTGTGTTCTCTCTAATCCTAAACTTTTTAATTCTTCATCACTTTATCCTTATCTTGCTAACTCTGTTTCACTAGATTCTACCTCTTGAATAATATCTAATCCTAACCTCTCCGACTACTGCTAATACCTTTACTACCTCTACTACTATTGGATTTGAAATGACAATTACATCTCTGTGCTAATGTGGTATGGCAACATGAATTGATGTACGTACGTACGAAGTTCTACGTTGCTATTGATTGACTGATTGAGTTACCCACTGAAGATAAAGGTTGACGTCACGTAGTATCGTCAATTGATTGAAGTTAGACATTAACCGCGTTGGATGCTACCTCATCGGTATAGAGGTTAAGCGTTCACGTGTGAGATTGAGGGTTGTGGGTTCGGTCCTTGATTGCTGAGTCGTGAATGCTCACTGCTGGAAAGTCCTATACTGGGACGAAAAGGCTGTCCAGTGCTTTCAGGTTTCTAATGGCGGTCTAACATTGATCGATCCGTGATTGCAACGAAAAAAATGAAATTTCGAATTCCAGCGAAAAATTTGCAGGGAACACTGATAATGAAGCTAAATTTTCTTCATTCCAGATAGATGGCTGTGTCTATGTAGCAGATTCTGTTATGATTCATAAAGCTTAGAAACTAAATAATACAAACTACTTATTGCTAACGAGTAGCATAATTTTAATTATAAAAATAGATAATCTATGTTTTTCCTTGACTTCTTTCAGCCGATAAGGAAATAGCGTTTCACGATGCTAACCAGACTTCATGTCCTATCGGTCTGTTTAATTACATTTCAGTTGGTGGGATCCAGCCACTGATTCTGCCTAAGGGTAAGCTGCGTATTTAGATGAGTAATTAAGAACACGATATACTGCCTTAAGTACAACCATAAGTTTGTGCCAATTACTTAGGATTCTCTGGTATTTGTGTAGAAATTCTTCATGGTTATTCAGGGGTCTGTTCGCTTGGTGTGAATTCAACGACGGATTAGTTTGGAATATCTTCCTAAAACTTAATGCTCTCACTGCTTATCAAACTGTTGGATAAGGAGGAGTCAAGCAAACACTAAAATTGTTTTAAATGATCTCAGGCAAATCTTTAATCCGAAAAGCAAAATAGACTCAATGAATTGTAACTCTTGAAAGCAAAAAGTACTATACATTCATCGGTAGTTACGTTGGGTGTTTAAATCTGAACAACATAAGATCAACACAATATTAGCAAAAGTTCTATAACTGGAGAAACATGTTAACAATTACAAATCAGTGGTAACATACCGGGGTTCTTACTAGGGAAACCAATACAATGGAAAAAGATGGACGGTAAACTTCAGATTTCCAATAACGCATGTATTATAGTGCAACGCAGAATAAAATTTTATAGGAACTAACTAAAATATAGAGAGAATCACTGCAGTTGCGTAAAGTTGAACAAAAGATTACAGAGATGGTCATCTGAAGTAATTGTGGGAGTACAACTAACTAAATTTAGAAACTATCTGAAATAATCTTACAAAAATTTCAACGATTTAGACTATCCATCTGGCTATCTGATTCGTGCTTCTTCAGAGAAATGATAAATATAAAAGTTGAATAAATTCTGAGTATAGTAACATATAGGCTGATTCAGCTCCACAGACTTGTCAGTCCGAAATATGTCTATATTTCCAATATACCATTGATCCGCTGGTTTATTTTACTGGTCATGCTGTTGAATAAGGATACGAGGTCGGAGACTGATGAAATCGGAAGTAGAAGCTGAGCTTATCCCTTAGAAAGTTATCAATAGAATAGTTTGATGCGTATTGAACAAGGTCCTTTGTTACAAATACAAACAAAATATTTGGGGAAATTTTCGGAAACATCAATTTGTAAGAATACAGGAGTGACTAAATCTGTATTATCAAGAATTTAACCAAAATTTCTTCGAACCTCAACCACTAGCATGGTGTTGGAGATCTGTCACGTACATTGCTAATGGTCTTGACGCATCGCGTACACGAATTTGGTGAGACCACATTTTCACGGCAGTAGAAGTCAGACCTAATGGATATCTGTTTGTATTCATCAAACACACGATGATACCAACGCAACATTTATTAAACTTCTTCCCATTGAATAGTAAATAGGTATACTAGACCATCATGTGTAAGACCGCATGTGTAAGAAATGGGATTATGTGTCCGTCTATCCATCACTGCCCGTTGATTGGCCATTGTACTAGTTAGACAATCGATTATTTAAAAGACCAATCAGAATTATATTGACACCGATCCTGAATCACAGGTATAGATAAGTCGTAAGCTTAGGAAACGATTAACGAATTTGGGATTCTTTGAATGTTGAACAGTGTGGATATCTAAATTCTCTATTAGTGATTTCCTCATTTATTCAGGTAAGAATTATGTTGATGTTGTACTATCTATTCTGTATGTTTATTAGTAGTATCTAATAATCTAGTATCGTAAAGTGGGAATTTTATAATGAATGGATTTCATTCGCTACTATGTTAAAGCACATTATTGATTTATATGATTAACGATGTTTGTATGGTCAAAGTCTAGGTAGATACAACATTGTAGTAAAATTGTTCTAAAGTGTCCGTTATTTAGTTCTAGGGACAAGGCTTACAGCAATTAGAAAACCATGCACCAGATCCTGTGCTTTGTTTGCAGACTACTGTTCCGTATTTTAAGTTGAGTTCCATCTAGGGGTTAGTAGTCAAAACATGTACGACCAGTCAGAATTATATCTTTTTAAAACAATGGTTTCAGGAAACCTCTTGAGATAGACAAACGTTCCCACTGGTCCAAATGCATGAAATGGTGCTCGGGCGATAAGTATGTTGCAATTACACCTCGATTTAGGGCAAGCATAAAATGTTTCTAAACAGGATAATTTAGTAGTACTCAAAGACCAACTTTTCTCAGTGTAGCGGTCTGTGTCTAGCCAGATGGAGGTACCTTGTGTACTAAGAGAGCATGCGCATTAGGGTGAGTGGAGATCATTAGAAAAGAGAACCAAAGAGGTGAGCCAACGACCCAGATAGACAATAAAACGCACTTCAGATTCAGATAATTTGGAAACTAGGAGAGGATGTCATGAAGTTTTTACACCGTCGCACCTAACACACTTATAAAACTTTTCAAACCCGAATTATGAGTAGAAAATTTGCTTGAGATTCTATCAAAAGCATCCAGTTAAAGTGAAAAGTTCACTAGAAATATCGTGTATACATTATTGCATATTATCGTTAACTCGAAATTCTGCTGAGAAATATTAACTGAACTGATTTCAATGTGCAATGAACTTCTGTGCATCTGAATACAAGTTGTACAATGTTCTTGATCACGAGCCCTGTTTTTGAGTCAGGCACATAGAATATGGAGCGTCACAACTGCGTAAACTATTAGCATTTTGTTTACTTAGTGGTTTTGGTCTAATTGAATCGCTTGTTGGTTGAGTAATTTGTTCAGTGACCTTATGCACTGACTTGAGAAAGCATCATCTAATCCTATTTCCGTTTTTACGTTTTTGCAAAGGCGATATGTTTGATTGATTTCCTCAGGCAAGTTATTCGACGATGTCTCTTATTTTTGACTGTTTAACCTGCCTCTTCGTAGGCTAATAACAAATCATTCCTTTTCAGAATGGGTCTTTGGCTTCACTTGTCTTTGATTTTGTTATGCATAATAATTCTGGCTTCATCGATTCCTACATCAATACAAAAACACGAGCTTGAAGAAACTGATACGTAAGTTAGATCTTTCCATGTCATCAAAGCTTTTCTACGAATAAAATTTGAAACTTAGTTTACATATATTGTTAGGACATTATATGGCTAGTCAGAATAATATATCCTGTTAAATATGTGTAAATTTTTGATGATTAGTATTCAAGAACAAAGAATATTTCAACAAACAGTTGTTTTCAGTAGCTTCGTCATCAAACTTCATTATTATAAGTTCCTAATTACTGTGTTGTTTTACACAGACTGAAATAAGCTATGTACTAATGGATTATACATTGTTATATGTTACAAATTGTGAAACTTTGCAACTATTATGGTATAAAAACTTCAAGATTATGTTAATTTGTAAATTGGAAAGGTAGTTTACTAAAGATCAGAAAGATTCAAAGCAATATGTCAAGTTGTAATCAGTATAATAGTAAATAAATCGTGAGCACAAAATGCTTAGCGGGGGATAATAATAACGTTTTGTGACTAGTATATGTAATGTGAGTGATCTATTCAATGTATATATATATATATATATATTCAATTTATAAAGTCCACTAAATACCAAGTATGAAACTATGACAATTAATCGATTTCGCGACTCCTTTACCCAACCATGCTGGTACACGTTCGCGAGCATGCAAGGATAAAACCCTCAGAGTATGGCCCATGCAACTAGCTCCAGAGAAGCAGTTTGATTGTATTACACACCTTGAAAACCCATCATTGACAACCTGTCCTTAATTCGTTGTGTGAGTACTGGTTTGGTTGGAAAGACTACTTGTATCATAGCATTGTGAAATGTCCTTTAAATAGATATTTCAAGTTTGCAAGTTAAAATGTCACCCGCTACGTCATCTCCAAAATCGGAATTCTTTACTTAAAGTGGTGTCCGTCAGTGATGTCCACTCTCTCCATTCTTGTTTAATTTTATCATAGACATGCTGCTAGATATAACCTTTTCCTCGTATGAATTTTCAGGAGTGAACCTTTTACCAAGAGACTCGCTTGTTGACTTAGAAAGTGCTGATGACGTAGTTCTATTTGGTTAAGACGCTTACAGAATGCAGTCTTCTGACAACCTTAAGTAATAATGCAAGCATGCTTGGGATGCGGCTCTTCCCCTTGAAATACAAACTGTTGCTTCAGGATTAGGTTGCATCGGCACCTGAACTAGTGATAGTGAGTGAAGTGGTTGGGCGTGTTTATCACTTCACTTATTTCAGCAGTCCTATCAATACTGATGGTCTGGTGTGTGATGAAATCTGAGCACGGATACAGAAGACTCGATTCACTTTTACCAAATCTCTTCACTTTTAGTGTAGGCGAAATATCCGTCTACCAACCAGAAGACGGGTCTATTGTGTAGCAGTTCTCTGCGTCCCACTTTATGGCTGTGAAACATGGCCATTAAGAGTAGAGGACATTCCTAAGCTATTAGCATTCGACTATCGGTGTCTTCGAAGCATTGCTCATATATCCTGCGCAATTGTGTAAGCAATACAGTTTTTTAGAAAACGGGTAGTAGTTTAGGATGGCTGATAAATAAATGAAGTAGTGAAGCTTCATCAGCTGAGGTGGTTGGGACATGCGTTAGAAATGCCCAACCGCCGACTCCTCCGACGAGCTATGTTTTGTGGTATAGGAGTAGGTTGGAAGAAAGCTAGGGTTGTCCAAACCAAAACATGGCAGAAATCCATGAAGTCACTAACAACTGTATTGAGTCGTGTTGGCAAGTGTCAACTACCTGGTTGGGGTCCGCGAGATGATAGTGATTGATGGTTAGAGATTTGGTATGACTTGGCTTAAAGTGGTTTGCAATGGCGTGGGTGCATCCATTCTTTGTGTTCTTTCAAATCGTGATCTTCTGAATTTCTCATGACAGTTTTTTCCTCTTTTTTAATTGATTCCTCTGGGGTATATATCTCGAATGATATATTCGATCATCAACCATTTTGATTACTGCTAATACTTCTACTATTATGGGTTTTGTATTGACAATTGCGTCTCTGTGCTAATGTGGTATGGCAACCGGAACTGATGTTCGTAGGTACGAAGTTCCAAGTTGTGATTGACTAACTCACTGAATGAGTAATCAGTATGTTTCAAACACTACAAGCAAATTCCTAAGAAACGGTGTTGTTGGCTAAAGTCCTGTTTTACCCGAGTTATGAATGTGTCTATCAATCTCACCAATAAGCTCTTACTAGTTTGTGGTGTTTAAAATACCGGTAATTATGTATCACATGTACATAGACTAAATTCCACAACCCTACCTTATATCCTAAATCTGGGTATAGAGATTTGGACGGATTTATATTTGTATCAAGTCTATTCTTTGACTAACTTATACTCCAGGACATGCTTCGGTACATCCACGAACTATGTTTGATTAGTTTCCTTTGTTTTGAAAATTTCAGAGTTATGTGTCGTTCACGGTTAGAATTTCACCATTGTTAGTTTGTACAAGTCTACTGCTTATTGTGTAGTATATTTCTACATTCTGCTCATCCTCTGCCCTGATAGATTCCTTACCAACGAGGTCACGAAACGCACTGTTATCAGATCAGGTTACTCAGTACTGCAGTCGCTACACTTAGGTCTTAGGTTAACTGTACATCTGAAAGTGTAGATGGTCATTGGATATATTTTAATTTCACTATGTAGGGATGAGTAAAAGAATCTAAGATTTTGGAGCGCCTATTAAAAAAAGCCAAGGTTGCATATATCCCGTGCAATCTCTTGTTTTATGTAAATTATTTATCAGGGAAAACAAGGAAACTCACAAGTTTCTGTGAAAGACAGAACCTGATAACCGAAATACACAATCATCTCCAGTCGGAAACTGTCCCAGCTTGTCTGCGTTGCTGGTATCTGAAGACCTAGTAGTCGGTAAAGCGAATGTCTCATATCTATCAACGTTCTTCAGTGTTGTGCAGAGTATCAAATATATTTGAAATCGTTTACCGAGTCAATAAAAATTCTCATTGTTTTTTTTAATAAAGCGGTCAAAGTCAACATAGTTTTGGTTTCTTTTGGCATAGATTTTGTATACTTTGATCTTTGTTTAGTTTTGAAGGTCACCTGATGGAAGATGAGGGATCACAATCTCGAGGACGCAACTTGGGTAACAGGTCTGGGTCTAGGAAAAGTGAGTGTTTCGTTAATCTAAGATCATGAGTTTTTCAGTCCTTTCTTTGTAACTTTACGTTTAGAACTAGTCCTTGATCAAGGTTATCTGGGTTATACAGAGTTTAGCTTTTTTGATTGTTAAATAAACGCCCGGTCGAAAGTACACTGTAAAATATACTATGTAGTTCGAAATAAGCCGAGTTGCATTTTGAGCTTCTAAAATTGATCCCGGCTATTTCTACGTACATTGATAACATACGAAAACAGTTTCTTTTTATACTAAGGAGTAGTTAATTGTAATGCATTAAATTCTTTACGTTGTAGAATACTGTCAGTGTTATCCTTTAAGGGTTGAGTTGGTTGAAACTCCTTTGATAGACGATTGTCTATACTAGCCGAATGCTAGTTATGGCCAATGCCATACCACTGTAGTACAATATTTTTAATTAAAATCAAATTGAAAGCAGATTGCACTAAGGTTGTATCCTTTAAGAACACTACAATAATACTGAGTGACGTTTTAATTTTTTAGATGGACCATTGATCAGCATTTAGGATTCCTTGTTTAGTTTAATGGTAAATTCTGTTGAATAAAATGTCACTCAGAAGATTTACCTATCTAATTCAACTAACACCCCCTCATTTATTTAGTGGTGAAGGAAGGATTTGATTTCGACCAATTTGGTCTCGTGTGCTGTTACGGGTATGAGGGCGGTTGTCACTTCCTGTCTGCCCACACCGTGGAAGGGTGTTTCTTGAGGAACCTTTAAAGGAGGATAGATTAGTGTTGGTCTTAACGATCTGTGAGCGTGACCGCAGAGCCCAAGGGACAACTGCTTGAGGCCGGTCACGCACGGCCTTTTTATTAAAGGTGTTTTGAGTATTAGCCCAGCTCTTGAAAGACCTTAGTGGGTACCCTTACCGCCGGAGACGGAAATCCGTGAGGTAGGGTTAGGTGTGACATTTTTAGTGTCGACCTTTTCTAACCCTTCCTTCCTTGTGGGAAGGCATCATCGCTGCAGATGCTGGTTGTCCGAGGTAAACACCTTACTGCTGCTGTCACACCCCTCTGCAGTCAGCAGTACGACTTCGCCCTGAGACCTTGCGTAGCTGCTTTTAGTTTCATCGTTCTCCAATCGACCTACCTGGCATGGCAGAACCTTCAGAAACATATGCTCCAGTCAATATAGGTCGGTTGGGTGATCACGATAGTAGTGGTGTAACATCAGAAAGTAATGGAAATCGATCTCTTATTATTTTGCTTCACCTACCAAATGTGTTTGGTCCACTACTTAAATAGGATTATTAACTAGTAATAAAATAGTTTGTCATATTTATTGGCAGCTTAATCTCTAAATCTTCAAGTTAATCTCCCTTTTATTTATCTCCCTTTTGCTTTTCTCTGATCCCCTATTGTTTAAATATATACTTCACTATAAATTATTAAAGAGTTCAAGAATGTTTCTTTATTTACTATTATTGGCTAGTTATTGTTACCTGTTCATGTAATTTTTTTTTCCTTACTGTTTAGCATTTATTTATTTATTTTTTTTATTCATGAAGTAAGTTGACCAGTTTGTGTTGAACAAATCCATTTGGTAGTGAACTTAATGCACTTTCAAGTGAAACTAAACTGCACCACTATTTAATCACAAGAATTGGTACTCAATGTTATACTACTTACTGTCTAAGTACTTAATGTATCAGTTGTGACTAACAAGTGATTTATACTAATACTTCTTGGCTTTACACTAATTCTGTCAAGAGTTGAACAAATCAACGAAGACTCATTGATGATTGCTATGTACAAGTCTGGACCTTGAACGACATGGCTCAAAATCGTTTGCAATGGCGCAGGTGCATCCACTCTTTGTGTACTTTTTAATTCTAACCTTCTGAATTCCTCATAATCTCTATCTTTCTCCTTCTAAATTTATCTTACTGAATTATACTTCTCGAATCAAATCTTCGCTCCCTAATCTTCTCCATTACTGCTAATACTTCTACTATCGCTATCACTCTTGGATTTGAACTGTGCTGATGTGGTATGGTAACCTGAACTGATGTACTTATGTACGAAGTTCTGCGTTGTATCTGTCTTGTCTGTCTTGTCTATGTACACGTCTGATACTCTCAAATGTACACATCTATAAACGAAGTTGAACTATTTTCCCTGGAAGAGGATTTTATATAAGAGATTAGTGTTTTGCACTTATGATAGTTTTATTTATGATTGCGATGAGCTGTATTTTTTTAAATATTTTGAGCATTTCGTTTTATCATTATTATTTTACAAACCGGTTTTCCATTTAATTGGCTATGGGATACACTAGTTTTTTTGTTTTTTTGGTTTTTGGTGTAAGTTTTTATGCGATATTTTACTGTTTGTTCATTATTTTGATGTTGTAATTTTACACGGTGGTGTATCGACTTGAAATATTTGTAAACATTATAGGCTGTGAGTTTGATCATATCACTAACCACATTCACTATAACACATCCACCTGTTTGCTGAATTAATGTTAACGCTAATCCACGCACTAAATCTCATTTATCTGTGTACCTCCACTATTGAAATGTTATTTGATTAGCTACCTAATCGATTGTTAAATTTATGCAGAATAGATAAAATTTGGAAGACCACCAGTGTAGCAGCAGCCTCTGCAGCAGTTGGTCTCAACATACACAAAAGAAACAGCGCAAGATTCTCCTATACAACACAACATGCATTAACCAAATCACTTTTGATGGAGATGCTTTTGGAGGACGTAAAAACCTTTACATATCTGAGCAGCATCATTGATGAGCAAGGTGAATCTGATGCAGATTTGAAGGGGCGGATCAGGGAAGTGAGGGCTGCATTTCTACGATTGAACAACATCTGCAACTCAAAACAACTATCAAAAATCACCAGTCAGAATCTTCAATACAAATGTCAAGATAGTTCTACTGTATGGGGTGGAAACTTGGGAAACTACCAGTCATCATCTAGAAGATATAAGTATTCATTAACAGTTGTCTACGCAAAATACTTCGGATTCGTTGGCCAGATACCAGCAACGACTTACAGTAGGAGAGAACAAACCAGATTCCAGTGAAGGAGGAAATCAGGAAGAAGCCATGGAAGTGGATAAGAAACATTGCGGACAGCACGCAACTGCCCCACAAGACAAGCCCTCACATGGAATCCTCAAGGTAAAAGGAAAAGAAGAAGGCCAAGAAACACTTTACGCCAAGAGAAAAATTTGATAGAACTGGAAATGGAAGTCCAAGACAGCGTCGGTTGGAGAATACTGGTGGGCGGACTATGCTCCATTGGGGGTAATAGGTGTAAGTAGGTGAGTAATAGTGAAAGAATGCAGGACGCACATTTTGTCCTACTTGAAACTCGTCAACTGAATGTATTTTCATCTCAGAGTTGATGTTCACTACAGGACTCGAATCCAGTACCGTTTGTTTCAAATTAAATTAAATTAAATTCTTTGTTTTTCTCAATTGAATTGCTCATTACTTTTTCATGTTACGTTTTATCCTCTTTTTTTTTTTGATTAACTGTTAGATGATTCATCATCAACTGGTGAACGACGATCACATAGACGTCGTAGAAAGCATGTAAGTGACAGATTGAATTCGATTAAAATTTTATTCGTACCATTTGTTTCATTATACTTCAGTAATATACTTTTCTGTTCAACTGTTGGCACGTAGAGTTTTTGATGGTCTGTCTGACAGTAATTTCTGTTTCTTATTGTCTTTATATTTATTTTGTAGTGTGATTGGTGTTGTTGACAAGTTGAAAATATTTCGAGCTTGAAGAATATCATATATTTTATGAGTTTTGTTCTAATCGGAGCAGACATTAGTCTATGGAATTAATTATTGTCTTCACCACTGAATTTCAATAGACTTACATAACTATGTACCTGTCTGCTACATTATTTGAAAAAAATTCTAAATTTTCTATTGACATACTTTTATCAATCGGTTATCTATAGGTTGTATATTTTGGTGTTCAATAACTAGATTGGTGGTAACTAAATGGTTAGAGTGTCAAGCTTTTGTGTACCTGTTCACTGGTTTGAACTCATCAGCTAGCCCCTACACTGAAATATTTAACTTTTAACCAAGTACATAAACACATACGTAGTGAGTGAATTACTTCCGTGTTGTGATTAATAATTCCCCAACGGTTAAATTAAATCACAATCCATAGAAAATTAGATCATTCCAACTATACAAAGTATTGTTGTATCCTCAAAAAAGAAAAAATTCCTGAATTATATTGGAGACCGTGTAAATGACAGTTTATTATGTGGAGCATTTGTACTATCTAGTCTGATTATTGATTTATTCACCTATGTTATCTGTAGGACCAGTGATCTCTTATCTCATAACGCACCGACCTTCTAACTAGTGACTCAGTAACTGTAATGCTTGGATAGTCTTAACACTTATTTTCCCACAAGCTCTTTCCGATCAGTAGACGAAGATAGCAAGCAGATATTCATTTGTTCATCATTCCAAACTCAAACTGAAATAAACGTTGCATTGTACACACGACTTAGTCATAAGGGATACGAAAAAGGGGAGCGAAATGGGGTAATTAGCCTGGAATGATGACACCTAATATCGCTTTATGGTTCGAACCAAAGCTTTCCTATAGGGGAATATAAAAATATGGCGATCTATGCATCTATCAAACTATTCGATAGGGTTATAAACCATTTTCTGAAAGCTCAACCTTTTTCAGATCCTGTTCGGTATAATCAAGATTACCTTTCTTTAAATATGAGCTTAATTTTTATCGAAAGTATTCCAAACGAATGACGAATCAAAGAGTACTTTTGGTTTAAATTTTTCAATACTAATTACTGTGATCATTTTCAACGGCACTTCCATGGAGTTTTCCGTTGATATACTTTTGTTGATTATGCCGTTTTATTCCTTTGTCTTCTAGATAGATATTGGGTGTCTTATTTATTTTTTTCATGCGTTTCATTACTTGATTTCAGTCACATTTTCCTGAATATATATATTCGTTTTCTATATCGCAAGTAAATCCATTCTTTGTCTTTCCTTGGATTCTAAACCCTTCTGAGTCGTACCTTCAACACCTAATCTTTTGTATTATCACTGATACACTATTTACTACCTGTACTGCTCCTGAATTGGCATTAAAAACTTCATGTCTCTGAGCTAATTAAAGTGTGGCAAATTGAAACGATGTACATAAATATTAAGTTCTACGTTTCGACTGATGTTATAGTGTATTTGGAATCTTTTATACTTGTTATTCTGTTGGTTTCATGTCTGTCCATTTCTCCATTCTATTATAAGCTGTAACAACTTGAACCGATCTACATTATTGACAAGTTGTACTTTGACTAGCCAACTGATATTCTTTGTATTGTGCTGATCAATACCATCAGTCAGTTTAGTCGTTTACAACGTAGAACTTCGTACGCATGTACATCAGTTCAGGTTGCCATACCACATTAGCACAGAGACGCAATCGTTGATTGATATCCCATAGTGGCAGAGATAATAGAAGCATTGACAGTAATAGAGAAGATTAGGGTTCGAAGATATTATTCAAGAAACATAAGCCATTGAAATAAATTTAAACGCAGAATAATAGAGGTGATGAATAATTCATAAGATTAGAATTTGGGAGAACATAAAGAGTGGATGCACCTGCGCTACTGCAGATGATTTTGAGTCATGTCGTTCGAGGTCTCCGACCATCGGTTTCTATCGTCTCGCGTACCTAATATTACGCGCGTTTTGGAGACGCAGAATATATCGATGGCGCGATATTCGAAAGTTCTGAGTGAGGAGTCTTGTTTCCATATTTGAAATAATGTCCGAACATTAAAAGCTCCAGCATGTAGTTTATAACGGGGTTTCAGGAAACCAGGAATAACGTTTCGAGAACTGGAGTCGTTTGCATTAGCGATGCGGGTTGTGATTTGATTGTGACTAATTTGGTCTCGTGTGCTGCTACAGGTAAGAGGGTGTATTTTAACTTTCGGCTGCTCACACCATCAAAGAGCTCTGGTTGTTAGAAAGAGCATCGGTCTTGTGACTACTGAAGGAACTCGGCCTCAATCATGAGACGTCTTAACTCTTATAAATGAAGACTTCCTAACTCTCAGGACAGAGTTTAAATGGTTCGAATTATTTTTTCTGGTTAGTGTTTTTTTAGCGAGTTCGTTTTCTACAGGATGGGGTCGTCAACCGCACGCTTAACCCTCCTTTATCCGTGCTTCGGACCAGCAGTAGCCATAGAGGTGCTCCAGGGGGAGTTGATCAATACCATGATACATTCTTTTGTTTATTTGTGACTGCTAAAAGTCACAATTTGCTATTGAAAATTGCTATTTTAAACTTAACCTAGATGTAAATTGTTATAGTTTGTTATTCTGAAAAGTTTCCAATAAAATATAAATCAGAATGCACTGAAGTTGTCCATATTCAATGTCATATACTGAAAACGCATCTACGAACCTATCTTCAACATTTTGGTGGTATGACTATCGTGTTTGTCATAAAACTATCCTTTTCTATGTCAGCTCACTAGGCAATTTTTCTAGAAATCGATTTTTCAAAGTTATAGCCTGATTTCATGATGTATTTAGTCAAACACACCAAAGATAATCCAATAACTTGTTAGTGACGTTAGTTGAAAATTGCTCTATAACACACAAAGTGACAAAGATTTAAAACATGGACAATTGTTTGGATTCATGATTTCAAAAGGAAAACAACAATCTCCTTATCTATATAATGAATATCACAAAATATGCTCACCGGTGACTAGCTTCGTAAGGAAATTCCCGGAGTCCTTGTGATAAGCCGTGATGAGTGGAATTCAACCCTGTCTGGTGTAGGCAGTTACCTACCGAAGACAATGGGTAAGGTTTCGCTTTACCTCGGATTGATTAAAGTTAGACGACACCGTTGGATTCCGGCTCAGCAGCTTAGAGGTTAGGCGTTTCCGCGCGAGACCGACGATTCTAGGTCCCGTTGCCCGCAGCGGGATTCAGATGTGCACTGCTGATTTCGTCCCACATTAGGACTTAACGGCTGTTCAATCCTTGTGAGTTCTTAATGGCGGTCTAACATTGATTGATTCATGATTTCAAATGTTTCGGTAGTATCGTGTTTCTCGTAATGGCTCTCCTAGGATCAGTCTGGTGAGTGGTAAGTATAGAGCACTTGGATTTCTCAAGTTCTTACCCAGATTTCGTTTCAAACAATGCTTACTCCCATAAAACAATCACATTGACTAACATCATTTTCATGAAATATCTATTTAAAATTGTTTTGTTTTTTTCACTCCTATGTTTACTTACAGAATCGACATTGTGAACAACCAGGTCACTGTCCTGAAGGTAAATTAGTATTGATTAGTAGTTTTATTTTAGTAGTTTATAACTCAATTTATTCTGTTGATAGATTCATCATTTAGATTAGACTTTTGGATTTAATAGTTTTATACTGTAGTGTGTCCATTTACTGCGTGTTCTTAAGGTCGGTAATTAGCTCGTCTAACCAATCGTTACTAACTAGTGTCTGACGGTTTATAAATCAGAAGGTGAACTCGAAGTGTTGAATACGTTTATTTGGGACACACCACATAGTGAATCGGAGAAGTAGTGAATAGAACGTAAGAAGTGACTTGAATTGGAGAACGCTGCTGAACCAACTCTTAGGATTACAATGCGGACGAATGGGCGAAGGGAGCGAATGAACAGGCGAAGCGCGTTGAAGAAGGTTAATGAGCCAACCTAAAGAGATAGAGTGTGGCTAAGAATATATAGTCAGACAAATATAAGACAGATATATGACAAGCGAAATAGGCATGCACACACATGAATAAAAGCGACGAATGACTGACAAGGTCAAAAGCAAGCGCGACAAGTCATGTGAGCCCATAGGGATAATAAGAGAATAACATTAAAGCGAAAAGGATAAGTAAGCGCGTAGGCGTAAGCAATGCTCAGTCGAACAAGCTCATACAAACCAGACAATAAAAAATACCAATGGTACATATGAGTTGTTGCTATACAAATGGCTTGGTTACACAAGTTAATCGAAAAGGCTTAATCAAATTAAATATGAGCGATCTCAAGTTTATGTGGAGGCACTACAATACAACATCCCAACAATGATAATAATAATAATAATAATCATAACTTGGTATCATCCTATCTTATTCCTGTTATCACTGTTTCAGGCGGTGGTGGTGCTAATTGGCGACGACCACATAGACGTGTGAAAAAACATGTAAGTGATTGTAGAAATTGTGCGTAGATAAAAATCAATCTCATCTATTATTTCTTAAGTATCCATTTACAATAATTAAGGCTTGCCCGATTGTTATGGGCACTTTGTATAATATATTGTTTGAAATTGATCGTATTGGCACAGAAGTGTTATTTGTGTCTGTGTTTATGGTATTCGATGTTCGAGATTTGAATGTGATACGCGTTAACCCTTCTAACTGACCATTTGAGAGAGAAGGCAATAGTAGAGGAAAATGTTTATTTGGCTACCGATTCATATACATAAGTACTCATTGACATGTATACATAAATATATTCTTTTCCCCTCAGAAAATGAATTCCTTTCATTACCTAAACATCATGCATTCGTTATTTAGAATATTTCTGATTGTCCCCTAGTAACCTCATTTGGCACTTCTGATTGTCTAACTATATCAGTTGGGAAACCCTAGTGAGCAACGCTGTTATTAGGAATGGGGTGCTAGGTAAGAATGGCAGATCAATAGAAGAAGTAATGAAGCTTTATCAGTTGAGGTGGTTGAGGTGTGTGCTGCGTATGCCTAACCACCGACTGCCTCGACGAGCTTTGTTTTGTAGTGTAGGAGTAGGTTGGAAGAAAGTTAGGGGTGGCCAAACCAAAACATGTCAGAAATCCATGAAATCATTGACGAGTGGACTTAGCCATGTCGATAGTTGTCGACTACCTGGTTGTGGTCCGCGAGATGATAATAATCGATGGTTAGAGACCCTGAATGACACGGCTCAAAACCGTTTTCAATGGCGCCAGTGCATTTATTCTTTGTGTTCTCTCAAATCCTGACCTTCTGGATTCTTCAACCCCTCTAGTTTTGACTTTCTGAACTTCTCTCACTGAATCATACTTCTTGAATAATATCTTCTAATGGTAACCTCTCCGATTACTTCTAATACCTTTACTACCTCTTCTACTATTGGATTTGAATTGACAATTAAATCTCTGTGCTAATGTGGTATGGCAACTTGAACTGATGTACGAAGTTCTACCTTGCATCTGACTGACTGACTGAACTATATCAGCGTTTCTTTAGTTTCCTTTGCTTTTGTGATAATATAGACAAAACCGACAAATTTAGCCGACGTACCTCCCATATGCCACATTACACGTAAGTTGATTGACTAATTACCAGTCATTTAGTCAGTCCGTGACAACGTAGAACTTGGTAGATACGTACATCAGTTCAAGTTACCATACCAAATTAACACAGAGATATGGAATTGTTAATTTAAATCGCATAATATTTAAGGTTGTCCCAATCACTTCAACTGATGAAGATTCACTACTACACAACTGACTTGCCATCCTGTTGTTAACCACAGCATTGCTTACTCGATGGTTCCAGGATATACGAACAATCCTTCTAAGACAACTATGATCGAATACTAGTTACGTACGAACATCCTCTATCCTTAGTGGCCATGTTTCACACCCGTATTACTACACGGGTTCGAGAGCCGATGCTAGCCAATCCTGAAGCAACATTCTGCATTTGGAGAGGAAGAATTGCATCCCAAACATGCTTGCATTGTTGCTTAAGGTAGTCTGTGTTTTGTCAGCGTCCTCACCAAACAGAGTTATATCATCTGCATATCTTAAACCTACAAGTGAATCTCTCGCTAAAAGTTCAACTCCTAAAAAGTCAGACGACGTAAGTGTTGTCTCGAAAAGCATGTCAATCACAAAGTTGAACAAGAATGGAGAAAGTGAACAGCCCTGACGAACATCACTCGAAGTATTCGATCCAGATGAAAGTTTGCCATAGTCTGTCACTGGACTAGTAGTGTTTGTATAGAGGTTAATGTACTTCTATGATACTCCATTGTATGACAGAAACTGCCATAGAATCTCACGATCGACAGAGTTAAACGCCGCCTTACGGTCGAGAAGTATAACTATCTCGTGATGTCTGAACGTATGAATATATGGTCTATACGTCTACGTCCGGGTTTGAAGCCAGCCTGGTTTTCTCGATCCTACTCTTCACGAGCTCTAGTTTGGCGTCTAAGTATTATCGAGGCTAGTCTTTGTGTACCATATATTAGGTAAACTGATTCTTCGTTGATTGCCACTGTAGAACTTGTCCTTTCTTATACACTAGCTTATCGATTGTCTTATCAATATGGGAGCGTGACTATAGAGCCCAAAGGACAACTGCTTGAGGCCGGTTGCCCACGGCCTTTTTATGGGAAGATTTTAAATTGTTGGCTCGGCCCTTCAAAAGGCCTTACCGTCAGGAATCCTTAGGGCTAAAGTGATGTGTGACATTTTAGCGTCGACCTTTTCTAACCTGTCCCTTCCGTTATGAGGTGGCATTGCTGTGGACGCTGTTCATCCAAGGGAAACTCCTCACTGCTGCCACACCCTCTACAGTCGGCGGTATGATATCGCCCTCAGACCTTAGGTTGCGGCTTTTAGTCTTACCGTTCTCCAATCGACCTGCTTGGCATGGTAAAACCTAAAGGAACATATGTTCCAGCCAATGTGATTTGGTTGGTTCATGACGATTGACAGTCGTGATTGACTGATTATACGATTATAATTTGCATGAAATGTAGTTCTTTATTCAGAAAACTTCAATTTCCGTTTCTTTAATTCAATATTATTCAGAACTAATTTTTATTGGATGCATTGTTTCTGTACTTTTTTTGTCTTTAGCGTACACGATGCACTGCTGATGTTGATTGTCCAGAAGGTAAGTTTCTACTTTTGAAGTGTTACAATTTTTTTATTGATTAGTTGATCAGATATATTCGTTCGTAAAGGATGATACCACTTACCACTCACTCAATTTCGCTTTTGATTGCGTGACTAACTTTTTGTAGGATTGAGATATTCTCGTAGAGTATGTTTATTCTCTTAACGTTATGTCGCGATTGAACTGAATTATAGACATTAGTTTAAACAAAAGTGTTTCTGTGTAACCAGAATGAAATACTCACTGATTAAGTTCGTCAAGTGATTCCATAATAAAACCATCACCCGATCGTCTCTCAATTCGCTTGTTAGTTAGTTAGCGGTTTTCGATATCCAACTGTTAAATTAAAGCGTTATACCTCTCCTCCCCCTTACTTTAAACTTCAACTACTGAGTAGTATCACTTTTTTTCACCTCTGAAGAATGATGGTGATAAGTTCGTCACTTAGTATGCTTAAGGCTATTACGAGTTTACCTTAGTCGATAAACGCGAACGAGACTTTTACCAGCTTCCAGGGAGGCTACCTTGAATACCCAAAGTCGAAATAAAAGGCTTTGTAAGCGTAGAAGTATATTCTACAAACACCCAGCAATCACAGTACAATCAAGCATACAACTCTCGTTTATTTATACAACATAGGAACGTCCTTGAGACAGTTAAGAAAATAGCATACTAAAATACACAGCAGCCAATCACAGCCATGGATTTTCCTGGTGGGAATCGAAATCTCAAGGTCATCTGATCTGCCCATGCTGGCAAAACGTGAAAACCGAAATACGGCATTATCAAGCGAATTTCGGGGATCTAACATCCCCAACAGATGGTTTAATAGCTGTGTGTGAGTGTGAATATATGAATTTCTATTTGGTGACTAAGTCGTCTAGAGAAGCAGATTACAATAACGTTCTGTTATTTGTATCTAAATTTTACATACATCTCCAATTTTTTTGTGATCATAGGTCAACTGTGTAAAGAACGTCGTCATGGAGGCGGAGGACGTAAACATCAAGCTGCCGGTCGTGATGCTCCATCATCAACTTCCAACGATGCATCGTCATCATCATCATCATCATCGTCACATAATGGATCAAAAGTTGGTGGAAAGAAATTTTGTCGTGAACGAAAACATCGTGGAATACACCGAAAATCGGGATTTTTGTAATTCATTGGTATCAAGGAAAAAACATTTCATTCAAATCAGTTTATACTAATTCATATAGACAAATTATCATCTCCTTTATATAATACATACATGCATACTTGAATTACTTACTACTTCCTTGTTTGTTTGTTCGGTTTTCCCTAAAAAATAATTTTATTCCGAAGAATAAAACATAAACCACTTTATATTATTCATCGATTTTTTCTCTTAAAGAAATCAATACGTTCTTATTGATCGTGTTTATTATTAATCCTCGCGTTTCATGTTTTTAATCGATCATCAAGCATTCAACTTCTTTCTCCTTACACTGTTTGTTATTATTATTATTTATCGCTTTTGTCTTTGACAATTTTATTTCAATTATGTTTTGGCGCATTTTGTTTTTTTCTTAAATTTCTATAATATTTTGTTTTAACCAATCTCTTTTCTTTTTTGTTCATTGAATAATTAATTGTGTGTGTGCGCGCGCCCATTATTAATTGTTGTTTCTTATATAGTTTGTTTTATTATACCATATCTAATTCATTCATTCATTCTTCATTGGAAACATTAAATTATTCAATGTTGTCAATATAAAAATATACATATATAATATATACGATAAAATGCTCTTGTTATTTATTCATCTGGTCACAAATTGTTTTAACCGTTACACTTGAACAATGTGTAGTTTTTTATATGTCATAGATTGATTGAACTCGGGATGAGTAAGTCAGTCAGTCAGTTGCTGTTACGGGTATGAGGGCGGTTGTCACTTCCCGGCTGCCCACACCGTGGAAGGGTGTTTCTTGAGGAACCTGAAAAGGAAGATAGATTAGTGTTGGTCTTAACGACCTGGTAGCGCGACCGCAGAGCCCAAGGGAAAAACTGCTTGAGGCCAGTCACGCACGGCCTTATTATTAAGGGTTTTTCGAGTATTAGCTCCGCTCTTAAAAGCCCTTAGTGGGCACCCTTACCGCCGGAGACGGAAATCCGTGAGGTAGGGTTAGGTGTGACATTTTTAGGTTTGACCTTTTCTAACCTTTCATTCCTTGTGAGAAGGCAGCATCGCTGCAGATGCTGGTTGTCCGAGGGAGACACCTTACCCTCAGACCTTGGGTAGCTGCTTTTAGTCTGATCGCTCTCCAATCGACCTGCCTGACATGGTAGAACCTTCAGGAACATAAGTTCCAGCCAATATAGCTCGGTTGGGTGATCACGATAGGCAATCCCGACCACCACGTCAAGGTAGCAGCTTCGGTCGGGACGGATGAGTAAGTATTATTTAATGTAGGATTTGATTTGCCTACAGTTGAGTTTCTTGAATAAGTAATTCCCTATACTACCGTACACAGAGTCTTAGCTTAGCAGAGCTATTATAAGTCAGACAGAGGTCACTATGTATATAGTCAACAGTGATGATTGATAATCTTGAAAGTAAATTTATACAGCGATTACAAACCCAGGAAATGCTAGTCGATCACAAAGAGAATAAGAGGCATTAAACACCTGTTTCGTCTAACAATAATGTGCACTCATAACCTCTTTAGCGATTGAACCAATCGGATCTCACATCGAACTCTTAACTATTGGAAACAATGAGTACAATGACAGCCACAATCAATTCGATCTACAGCATGGCGATCATCCGATGTCACTACTCACTGGTAACAGCTTGCACTCCTTCACTAGAGCTTCACGAACGTCTTGAATTGAGCCAGTTGTGAGTTGCCTATTTAGATCGTCTGAATGAATGTCGATATTTGCCAATTTATTTCTTGTTATCCAATAATTCTAGCGTTAACCTCGTTGTTTGTTGTAAATGGGAATTCATCAATCCATATCATAAGATATCAAAAGTTACCTGTTCAACTACAGCTACTGAATTGAACAACATACTGAATCAAAATATCACGCCGTATCTGCCACAATAACTTGAATTTTCGGTCGGAAAGATATTTCTTGGCATTAGAGTTGTGTTATGGTTTTAAAAAGTTGACATAAAATTGTAGTGTTTATTTTATTCAATTTTCAATAATAAACTATTTCCGTATTTTGATTCTGCATAACTTTTAAGGCACTTGAAAATTCACAACCTATTCTAACCTTACAATATTACTACGTACAAATTCGTTTTGCTGTTTCAAATTACAAGTTTCACATCAGTTCACTTAGAGAAGCACACAAACGAATCTCATGGGGGATCCCTTTGACCTGAATGAAGATAATAACATTCAGATGATGAGATGTGTTTTATTTATACCGAATATTAGTTGGACTTGTTAAAGTTTCATCAACTTGTACTTCCTAAATTAGTTAGAGTAAATGAAACTGAATAATTTCGAGGTAGGGGATATTCAATCAATAAAAGGAGCATGTTGCCTTATCAAATCAATCAATCAATCAATATATTTCCATTTTTATCGTCTCAATGTGTTGTAATGCTTGCTTATATAATTCCCAGCTAATTCCTTTTGCTTAGTTATATTCTCTGACCACAATACACTGGACAACTTCCAAAGAATCAAAAACACGGTGGAACAGGGAAAAAGACTATATTCCGAATAGCAAGGTTAAATGGAACTAAGAAGACAAAGGTGATGGCGAAGGCCAAAAATAGTATTTACATGAGAAGCTTCTGGACAGCAATTCACGTGATCGACTGGATTAGATTTAGCCAATCAGCATGCAGCTAACATCATGAGAATTCTCTATCCTGTTCTCCAAGAGTCGATCAGGCGCTGATTGGATAGGGAATTAGCCAATCAGCGAGCAGCTGACACAGTCGTGCTTTATTCCATCCATGTCCGCCTAACACAATGTTTTCACTAACCGCTTAATTCAACTTTCCCATGTTCTTATGCTTAGATTAGTTAATAGTGGTATATATTTATTTTAATTTTAATTGAACAATTTTCCAATGTGTAAGTTAGAACACCAATCGATCATGTGCACTATATAGAGGATGAAGAAGTTGTTCTGATGTCTAGTCCTCAATGATTGTGTGCATAAAGTAGGTATTTTACATTAGCTAATATTGATCACTTATGAAAAGCATATTACTGTATCGATTCGTCTTGTTTTTTTTACTACCTTGATATATTACTTAATGCAGAAAATAAACAGTTGTTGTTATCTTTTGATTTCTCTAACTCTCAAATATTTTTCTCTATCTATTACTAGTGACTGGGGCTCCGTGAGGAAGTTTCTCCGAGTTCTAGTCAGAAGTTATATCCAGTCAAGTTGAACCCTGTTCGAATGTGATACAGTGCTCACTGAAGACAGTGGATGAGACTGCACAAGACTGTGGACTGATTAATTGAAGTTAGATAGACATTAACACCGCTGGATGCCAGTCCAGTTGTCCAGAGGGGTAAGCATTCGCGCTCAAGACCAAAAGTCATGGGTTCGACTTTCTGCGAGTAACAAACAGGAGCCGTGGATTCGCACTGCTGATGAGTCAGTCCCACAGCACGACGAGACACGATCGTCCAATGCATCATCCGGGTTTCTAATAATGATGGTCTAACAACGACTGATTGATTGATTGATTTCAAAAGTGTCTATCAAATATGAAAAAGTGATCAAATTCATTATTATTAAATCTAGTGCAAAAGTACTGTTTTTATTTTTATTTAGTAAATAGCTTTAAAAGATAAAAGTACTTCATTCAATCATTGAAATGGTTGTTTTTCAGGGAATACAACTCGTTCATATAAATCATTGATGAATTGTTTATAATTGATTCTATTTATTTTGGGTTTTGTACTAAGACCAAGTGATTTCGGTCCATCACCTTGACTGATCGGTAACCAATCCACATCAATATTGCCAACATAATCTGTTGGTGCGTGAATCGTTGATGCTGCTGATGACGATAATTGTTGTTCCATAGTGCCAAAATCTTTCCAGTTCAGTTGATTAATGAATTGTTCATATGGTATAAGATTATTTTGATTGATTGAGCTAAAAATTAAATTTAAATTTGATAAATTAGAAGAAGAAAACACCAGGGCACAAATAAACTAAAAAAAATGTGTTGTAATTTGGAGGGTAAATTCAAATGATCAATCAATTGTCATTGGTTCCGTTTTAGAATTGATTTAGGATTTTTACAGGTCATACTGTGGTGCGAGCTACTTATAAGTAGTATATGACGTGCGTGTCAACGTAATGTCTGGCAAGCAGGAGATGGGGGAAGATCAAGAAAGGAAGAGTTAGAAGAACACAATGGAATTTGTATGAAACGCATGAATAGTGACAATGGATGGATGTTTTGCAACAGGAACAGTCCAGTTCGATATGATGGACTGATATTTTGCAAATTAACGATTTACGATATGGTTTTCCGATTTCACTGAGTAACTCTGTAATTTTCGTTAAATACAGTCCTGTTGCCCCACCTGTGTTTTCGTTCACTACAATACCACTGTCAACTTCGATTTCATGCATTATACAACTGAAGTGTCTTCTCAGATTTTAGAATAAAATAGTTTTACACTCGTCTCTAGGTATGTTTCAACTATTACAAGTTCACCTTAGTCGAATAACGAGAAAAAAAACAATGAACCAGCGTCCAGGTGGTCTACTGTGATCCCTTGACCAAAAGGTATCGATCAGCAAGAAGTCTTGATATAGAATAGAAATTGTATTCTACAAACACCCAGCCAGCACACAATGAATCCAAGCACTCGAATTGCGTTTATTTATACTCTATAGAGACGTACTTGGGACAGCCACAAAAATAGCACACTAAAATGACACAGTAACCAATCACAGACAAGGATTTTCCTGGTGGGAAACGTGATATCAAGGTCAACTGATCGGTCCATGAAATAAATCCAAAATAAACATATTTATCAAGCGAGTTCTGGGGATCTAACATCCTCAACAAATAGCTATTCAGATTGTTTTTTCTCATTGATTTTCCATGTATATTATTATTCATTTCGATAAACTCGTTGTTTGAATGTATTGCTCTGATTTGCTTTTGAGAAACTAGTAAGTTTATTTAAAAAATTTCAACCGTAGAATATAATTTATACATCATATTATATATATAGATACTGTCCCTAACTCAGGTCTCATATGGTCGAAAAATGCAAGTTTCGCTATTGCGACATGAGACAAAGGGTAATAAGTCTGTTTGAGCCCATCTGCTTCAAACGGGGCTGTTGCTCTTACTACCTTATGCCATACTATGTCTATATACCACAAACTATATTGCTATATAGACTTGAAGGTTTCCTATCAGACCAGCGGTTTGTTTTGAACATTGTGGATGGCTTGGTATTATATTTCGGCAAGTTTGATTTTCAGGGTAACTGATTTCATGGGTTTGGGACGCTCAGATTAGAGTAGCCTGTCGTGTCGCCGGATCCTCGCTCTCGTTCACCGACTAAGATGAGCTCGTAATATTCAAGCATATCAATCAACGTGTTGACGTGCATGCGTAACAGTCTTTTAACATTCCTGAGGGCCACTGTTATTGGGATTCTGTGACGTATATCGCTGCTGCTAATAATAATGAGTTTGATAGTCATGTAAGTGGGATGCGTCAAATTGGTCTGTTCATGCTGTGCATATTGACTGACTCTATTATGGATAAGAAATAATCACCATATGTATTGGTGTATATAAATAGTGTGAATGGTCCACTCCAGGGTGGTGGTTGCACCACAGGATTGAACTGTGCTGTTTAGGTTGCAATGTTAACACGCGGGCAATGTCTGGTTCTCCTGAAAACTAAATGTAAAATTACCCTTGCCAGTCGACGATGAATTTATATAAAAATAAATATACTATATGTTGGTCTAACAATGATCGATTCATGATTTCAGTGAAGTCCAATCATCTCGATAACGAGAAATCATAAAATGTGCTCACTACTGACTAAGCTTCGTGATCAAAATTCTCGTAATGCTAGTGAGAGAATCAGTAACCAGTATAGTTCAACCTTGTCACGTCCAGGCAGTTTTACCAAACGAAAACATTGGGTGAGGTTGCAGAATACCTTGAATTGAATAAATTTAGATATTAACTCTTGGATGACGACGTCTCAGTGGCTTTGAATTTAGGCAGTCACGCATGATTCAATTCTCGAGCACTTTGTATTTAAATGAAGTAGAATGTACTGAAATTGTTATATATATATATATATATATTGGCTTTAATACAGGATTGTGTCGTATCAAAAACGACAGGTAGATTATATCATAATGAACACGTCTCATTGAATTAAACTGTTTCAGTCGATGTTGATTTCACTGTAACATGATGAAAGAGCGAAATCGCTTTCGAAAGTCGCTACTAGAAACTAGGAATCGAGTGCTAGGTAAGAATGGCAGATCAATAGATGAAGTACTGAAACTTCGACAGTTGAGGTGGTTGGTACATGTGCTGCGTATGTCTAACCACCGACTGCCTCGACGAGCTATGTTTTGTAGTGTAGGAGTAGGTTGGAAGAAAGTTAGGGGCTGCCAAACCAAAACATGTCAGAAATCCATGAAATCATTGATGAGTGGACTTAGCCATGTCGGTAATTGTCGACTACCTGGTTGGGGTCCGCGAGATGATGATAATCGATGGTTAGAGACCTTGAATGACATGGCTCAAAATCGTTCGCAATGGCGCCAGTACATTTATTCTTTGTGTTCTCTCAAATTTTAATCTTCTGGATTCTTCAACCCCTCTAGTTTTGACTTTCTATACTTTTCTCACTGAATCATACTTCTTGAATAATATCTTCTAATACCCTTACTACCTCTTCTACTAATGGATTTGAATTGACAATTACATCTCTGTGCTGATGTGGTATGGCGACATGAACTTGATGTACTTAGGTACGAAGTTCTACGTTGCATCTGACTGACTGACTGACTGACTAGAAACTGTTTAAAAGTTGTAGACCAAAATAAGCTTAGTTAGGATAGATAGATTATAACAATACTGGTTTTTGATTGTTTACTTTCATACTATGAATCTTTTTTCTGTCAGGTCTTATTTATGTGTTTTCATGACTGATAAGGGATTTTATTTTTTTACTAAAAAATTTTCATCGATAAAATAAGATTATATTCAGGTATTTATTTATGTGAACCTTGCGATAACGTCAAATGTATCAATGTATGTGACCACAATTTTTTGCATGATATGGTTGTGGAGATTTTCGGCTTGCTTTTTGAATTCATGAATCGATATCAGTGTTAGACCACCATTAGAAAACTGGAAGCACTGGACGGGCGTTTCGTATTGCTATATGACTCATCAGCAGTGCGCATTCGCAACTCACAGGATTCGAACCCCAGCGTTCGCTCACAAGACCGAAGGTCCTAGGTTGAAATCCTGGGAGTTGTGAGAGTCGTGGTTGCGCACTGCTGATGGAACACATTTTGATTAGGTGAATTTGATGAAGCTGTGAAGGCGCGTATCGGCAAACCAACGGCAGCATTTCTATAGTTGAAAAACATCTGTAATTCAAAACTACTATCAGCCAACACCAAAGTCAAAATTTTAAATGTGTCAAGAGAGTTCTGATGTATGGGGCGGAAACTTGGAGAACTACCAAAGCCATCATCCACAAGATACAGGCGTTTATTAACAGTTCTCTATGCAAGATACTGAGGATCCGTTGGCCAGACACCATCAGCAGCAACCTAGTGTGGTAACAAACCAGATTGCAGTGGAGGAGGAAATCAGGAAGAAGCACTGGAAGTGGACAGGACACACATTGAGGAAATCATCCGATTGCGTCACAAGACAAGCTCTCACGTGGAATCCTCATTGACAAAGGAAGAGAGGAAGACCAAAGAAATAGAGACAGACTTGAGAAGAATGAACAAAAAAATGGACAGAACATGAAAGAAAGGCCCAGGACAGAGTTGGTTGGAGAATACTAGTCGACGGCCTATGCTCATTTGGCCTGGAAAATAGAAGACGGCATATTAATGTTGCCAAATTCAAGTGCCATTGTATCTTTAGGGGGTCTATATCTTATCTTACAGTCGACAAGATCTTTGACAGTAAGTGCCATTTCTTTCAAGGTTCTACGAGAAAAGATATCTATCTGATCATGATGTTAGTAACTTCTAAATTGAATTTAAATACTAAAATGTTTTTTTAGTTCAAATTACCGGTTTTTATTATGCAACATTGTTTCACAGTTAAAAACCGTATTTTTTCTAACTGAAGCTATTTACAAGAAACGATTTATGGCAGCCTTATTATTAAAAGCAATTTTTATAAAAACCGGTTTCATTTAACTATCAGTTAGTTGTTTACAAGTTTACAGATATGAGATAACACAATATTATAAAACCCAACTGAAAAAAAATACAACAAAATGTATTCGAGTTAGTCATATCCTATTTGTGAATAACTAGCAGATGAAAGAAAGTCGAGAACAGTGAATGTTTTTGACTTGTGTTAATCATGAAACCTGGTATTCATGGATTAGTCGTTAACAAGGTCGTAATAGAGGGATTCACTTCAGTAGTCCTCAATCGAGACTGAAGTGCTCTATCCAGCAGTCCTTATTTGTTCAACTGAACTCAATCCACAATGAAGAATATTTAGTGAAAAAAGAGAAGCAACTTACCAATTCATAAGTGAATTCAACATATCATCAGGTAACGGTAGGCGATGCACTACACATACACGCCTTATTGCCAACCGGTCCAGTTCACCGGTTTTGTTGATATCTTGTTGACGACAGGCAAGCAGTAAACTAGGAAAATCTTCAAATCCTTTTCTACGTAGTGTTTGTTGTGCAATCCCAAATATAATTTCATGTCGTATTGGTTTAGGCGGTCTGTAAAATTAGAATTCATGAATAATCATTATTAGTACCCGAATCAATACAAAACACAGATTATTCTACTTTATTTGATTATGACCGATTTGGTCTCACGTGCTGTTACAGGTATGAGGGTGGTTGTCACTTCCTGGCTGCCCAAACCATGGAAGGGTGTTTCTTGAGGAACCTGAAAAGGAAGGTAGATTAGCGTTGGCCATAACGACCTAGGAGCGTGACGGCAGAGCCCAAGGGAAAACTGCTTGAGGCCGGTCACTCACGGCCTTTTTATCAAAGGTGTTTTGAGTATTAGCCCAGCTCTTGAAAGACCTTAGTGGGTACCCTTACCGCCGGAGACGGAAATCCGTGAGGTAGGGTTAGGTGTGACATTTTTAGGGTCGACCTTTTCTAACCCTTCATTCCTTGTGAGAAGGCAGCATCGCTGCAGATGTTGGTTATCCCAGAGAAACACCTTACTGCTTTCACACCCCTCTGCAGTCAGCAGTACGACTTTGCCCGGAGACCTTGAGTAGCTGCTTTTAGTCTCATCGTTCTACAATCGACCTACCTGGCATGGTTGGACCTTCAGGAACATAAGTTCTAGCCAATATAGGTCGGTTGGGTGATCACAATAGGCGAGCTCGACCACCACGTCAAGGTAGCAGCTTCGTTCGTCTCTGTGCTGATGTGGCATAGCAACCTGAACTGATGTGCTTACGTAAGAGGTTCTGCGTTGTATCCGTCTGTCTGTCTATTCTATTTTATTTAGAACAGCCCTTTACGTGCTCATCCTAGTAGTTCATCATTTTCCCTTTCACAGTTTCGCATAACACCTCTGTGTGACGTAGCCAGATCAACTAAATGGCGGTTGGTTGGCTGGCTGACGAGTGGTTTGTTTTGGATTATCGACTCATTGTCATCCAATGTGTTAATCAATATGTTACACATTGTTTTTATACTGTAATCTTTTTCCTTCAACCTTTAATAAATTTTATTGAATGTTGAATGTTGAAAAAAGTGATTTTTTTATATTACAACTCATTACTTAACTTCACGTTAATTTCATTGATATAGTGAGATTTCTGATTTTTGGTGATTGTGTATGCTAGGTGTTAGTTTTATCAACATTCGAAATCGCATATCCTCTTATTCGTTTGAACTAATCTATACGTTCATGTTGAGCTGGTGAAGAAAATTTGCAGTTAGTTGTGATGGGGTTTCATTCTTTGAGCTGGATATTTGTTAGTTGTGAAGCTTTTTCATTGTTCTTCTGAACATTCAACTCGGAGAATGAAACTTCATCATATACATTCATGTGAGCGTCTGATAGACAGAGTGACAGATTACTTACTTTACTTACTTACGCCTGTTACCCCCAATGGAGCATAGGCCCCCGACCAGTTTTCTCCAACCAACTCTGTCCTGGGCTTCCCTCTCAAGTTCTGTCCAATGTTTGTTCATTCCTCTTATATCTTTCTCTATTTCTCGGCGTAATGTATTCCTTGACCTTCCTCTTTTCCTTTTGCCTTGAGGGTTCCATGTGAGTGCTTGTCTCGTGACGCAGTTAGGTGCTTTCCGCAATCTGTGTCCTATCCACTTCCACCGCTTCTTCCTGATTTCCTCCTCCACTGGAATCTGGTTTGTTCTCTCCCACAGTTCATTGTTGCTGATGGTGTCTGGCCAACGAATACGAAGTATTTTGCGTAGACAGCTGTTAATAAACACTTGTATCCTCTGGATGATGGCTTTCGTAGTTCTCCAAGTTTCCGCTCCATACAGTAGAACTGTCTTGACATTTGTATTGAAAATCGTGATTTTGGTTTTGGTTGACAGTTGTTTGGAGTTCCAGATATTTTTCAATTGTGGAAATACAGCCCTCGCTTTGCCAATCCGCGCCCTCACATCTGCATCCGATCCACCTTTCTCGTCGATGATGCTGCCAAGATATGTAAAGGTGTTAACGTCCTCCGAACAATTTCCATCAGTAATAATTTGGTTGGCACATGTTGTGTTATATCGAAGAATCTTGATTTTCCCTTTATGTATCTTGAGACCCACTGCTGCTACACTGGTCGTCTTCTCTTGCATTTGTTGTTGATTGTGCGATAGAGGAGCCAAGTCATCTGCGAAGTCCAGATCGTCCAGCTGCGTCCTAACTGTCCAGTTGATACCGTGCTTCCCTCCAGATGTCGACGTCTTCACAATCCAGTCGATGACCAGGAGAAAGAGAAAGGGTGAGAGTAAGCAACCTTGCCTGACACCGGTCTTCACCTCAAAAGAGTCTGTTAGCTGTCCTTCGTGTACGATTTTGCAGTTGAATCCATCATAAGAATTCCGTATGATGTTGACTATTTTCTCAGGCACACCGTAGTATCGAAGAAGCCTCCACAGTGTTTTCCTATCCACGCTATCGAATGCTTTCTCGTAGTCGATGAAGTTGATGTAGAGTGGTGAGTTCCATTCAATTGATTGTTCCACAACGATCCGTAATGTAGCAATTTGGTCAGTACATGATCGATCCTTACGAAATCCGGCCTGTTGATCTCGAAGTTGGGTGTCTACGAAGTCCTTCATTCTGTTTAACAATACTCTGCTGAAGACTTTGCCTGGTATTGAAAGAAGAGTGATGCCTCTGTAGTTCTCACACTTGCTGAGATCGCATTTCTTTGGTATTTTGATGAGGTATCCTTCTTTCCAATCTGATGGTACTTGTTTTTCATCCCAAATCTTCTTGAAGAGGATGTGAAATATTTTCGCAGTTGCTTCTACATCTGCTTTCATCGCCTCTGCTGGAATGTTGTCTGGTCCTGCTGCTTCGCCACTCTGAGTGACAGATGAATAAACCAATAATTGTTAGCATTGTGATAGAGAGAAAAAAAATGAAAAAAACTCATTTCACTTACATAACACCATAATGTCTTGCTAATGTCCCGAGTTCATGATTGGTTATTACATTCTCTTGACCAGTTAATTGATTAATTAAAATTCTCATTTGACCTATATCAAATGATCCAGTATCAAATGGATCTTGCCTCATAGCATATTGAACATTTGCATCACACACTTCACGATTCAATAATGTTTTTAATTTATTCATTATGAATTGACAATCAGATTGTTTAAATTGTGTTTTATGCTTTTCCATAAAATCTAATGTATACTCATCCGCTTCAATTAATTCAAATAGAAAATTATTCAAATCTAATATAGCACCAACATAAAAATCTGTTGGTTTATAATATTCTATTGGTTTTTCATCAAATAATTTACTGTCAGGTTTTTTTACACGTTTTCGATCTAAGAATAGACCACCTTTGAAACCTTGAAGAAAATAATAATAATAATTATTATTATTATGTGAAGAATGAATGGTCAGAACGAACAATAAAAATGTACAAAAAGAATAATACTGCAGTCAACACAATCAGTCAGCTAAAACGTAGAACTTCGTACCTACGTACGTACGTACGTGTGTACATTAGCACAAAGATATATTTGACAGTACTGAACAGCCGTTTCGTCCTAGTATGGAACTTGTCAGTGACAATGCACACCAACGAACCTCGTTCGTTGGAATCGAACCCAAGACCCTCTAGGCCACTGAGCCTATGTTTCACTAGGGGTTACAGGCATAAGTAAGTAGGTAAGTAGTCAGCTTATCTGATAAGAAGGGAAAAGTTTTGTGCATTATAACAAAATAAGTGAATAATTATGCAATTAAAATTGATTACAACAACAAAATACAAGTAGAAATATATTAACATAATACACATAAAATTGATATTCCATACTTGGACGAAAAAATTGGTGGAAGGTCAAAGAACTAAACATATGATATTTGTATATATATATGTATATATATATATATATATAAATTTAGTCTGAAAATTCCCATAACCATTGTTATACTTTGTAAACGCGGACATACAAACTGTGAAAGTTTTGTTACAATCATTGTATTTATATTACGGTATGTGTTGCACGTTTTTATTGATTTTCAATTCTGTATCCATCGATACAAAAATGAAATGGAAATGAATTTGATTTAACCTTTATCTAACTATGTAGGACAGTGTTCGATAAAGCGGGGTTGCTCTTGCTAGATTTTTTACTTTTATTTACTTACATCTGTTATTCCCAATGGAGGATATGCCACTGACTAGCATTCTTCACTCTACTCTGTCCTCGGCCTTCTGTTATTGTTCTATTCAACTGTTCATTCTTCCCATGTCTGTCTCCATCTCTCAGCATAATGTGTTCGTTGGTCTTTCTCTTTCCTATTGACCTTGATGTTTCCAAGTGAGAGCTTATCTTGTGATACAGTCGATTGCTTTCCTCAATTGATTTCCTATCCACTTACAGCACTTCTTCGTGATTTCATCCAAAGCCGAAAGCTGGTTTGTTCTATTTCACACTAGGTTGTTGCTGATGAGTTTCTGCCAGCGAATCTCAAGTATTTTGCATAAACAACTGTTAATGCACACTCTTATCTTGTGGATGATGGCCTTTGTAGTAGTCCAGGTTGATGGATTGGTCGTTGTTTTGAGTTCCAGATGTTTTATAAATGTAGAAATGTAGCCCTTATTTTGCCAGTCCACGCCCCCACATCTGTATCAGATCCACATTTCTTACCAGTGATGTCACCCAGGTATGTAGAGGTTTCCACATCTTCCAATGCTTCTCCATCAAGTGTGATTTGGTTGACGCTTGTTGTGTCGTATCGGAGGATGTTGCTTTTTTCCACCATGAATATTGAGACCTACTGCTGATGAGGCTACTACTACACGGGTTGTCTTCTCCTGCATTTATTGTTGTATGTGGGAAAGAAGGGCTAGAGCATCTGAGAAGTCTAGATTGTCCAGCTGTGCCTTAGTTGTCCACTATATCCTATGCATTCCTCCAGATGTTGACGTCTTCATAATCCAGCCGATCATCAGGGTAAATTATTTACACAATTTTATTTTGGTCATTAGTAATCTATAATGATATTTACTTAATCTATGACAACTCTTGCTAAATATCGTAGTGTAAATGTTGTTATCCAGACAATATAATTACTGTTTGAACAATTGAATCTAGAATTCATTAGACCTTTCTAAGTAACACTTAAAATTCTCTTATATATATGATTCCAAGTTTATAATTATTTATAGGAATCAATATTGAATCAATTCGGGAAATTAAATCTTCCCAGATTTTTATAAACAGTCAAACAAACTTCGGTGAAAAACATTTACGTCATTTAAACTTCACCATGACTTTATAATCTTTGTTGGAAAGATGTTTTTTGAAACATTTAACTGAATGGCCCTCAATAGTTTACAACAATTCGAATGTTCCAGCAGTTTCGTTCGTCAACATGAAAGAGAAAATGGCCGGACTCGAACCTCAGAGTAAAAAGTTAAGTTCTTTTAATTAACTGAAAATTATTTAACAAGCTACATTAAACTAAAGATTGATTAGACGAACGAAATTAAATAAGTTCCGAGTAGGAAAAATAAAGGATAAACGGATACGTTTAGGCTAATAACGGCTAGCCATCTATTTCATCCCATTCATGAACTGACCATTTACAGAATATGATCAAGTTAGACATTAACACCGTTACATACCGGCTCAGTGGTCTATCGGTTAGGGCGTCCGCGCACAATACCGAAGGTCCTGGGTTCGAATCCTGCGGGGCGCAGGGGTTGTGGATGCGCACCGCTGAGGAGTCCCATACCAGGACGAAACGGCCGTCCAGTGCTTCCAGGTTTCTAATGGTGGTCTAACATTGATCTATTCATGGTTTCAAAAATGTGTAATTTACAGAAATGTCAGAAATGTAAAGAAATCCTTACACTTATCAACGAAAAAAAGAAATCGCCTAACCTGAATTATTTTCATGTTGTTCAAAAATCGAAATAGTATCATCTGACAAATGATAACTAATCACAAATTGACGATCACGATCTACCATTAGACCAGACAATAGTTTACCAGCAAAACGTAACACATGTGATTCGAAACCTTGACGATCGAATTCCATGAATTTTTTAAAATTCGAATTGTGTGCTTTTGGTATTAAACTAAAACAATTGGTTAATGAATCTTCTTCAGTGCCCCAACCATTATGTGGTGGAATTTCACGTTTCATTGTGACAAGTTGTTCTGGAAGTTTTGGCTTAACTGGAGTGAAATCTTCTATAAAAAAAAGAAAGTGGGATGAATAAAAAATCAATTTTTATTTCATATGAATAATAGGAGAATGAATCATTGACATGACAATTTGTAAACGGAATTTTAAAAAATCAGAACTGTCGAATAACTTAGGCTTCACCAACTTTCAAGCTAAAGTATAGTGCATACATACATCTACCCCAGTGCAACAAATGTTGACCAGCGTTACATCCTAAGGTCTTCCTTCAGGTGTATTCCAGTATTATCTCAGCGACCACAAGGAAGAAGTTGGTACCTCACAATACTGATCCAGCTCAATATTAATTAAATCACTTTCCAAGTTGATAAAGCTCTTCAATATAAAGAAATCCACTAACTCGACCACTATAGTTCAAGAAGGTTGCCAACATTATCCATGCCGAAGCACTTATATTAAAGTTCAGTCACGTAGATCAATTTATTCCGACAGAAATAAATTGAGTACTTAATTCCAGAGGCATTTCAACTAATTAATTACGTAGTGTGAATGCAATTCTAGTCAAGCGGCGGTTTCCATTTTATCAGTTTGAATATAACTGAGAAATATCATAAACTATGAAATACCTACTAAATGCCTACTAAATTCACTTAATTGTTCAGTGACAATAGATAATAAATAATATCGTTGTATATAGAGCACTATTTATCATCATCTCGGTGTTTGAGTATATTCATTATGCAGTGGAATTAAAACGACAATAGGCAGACAGATACAACGCAGAACTTCGTACATAAGTACATCAGTTCAGGTTGCCATACCACATCAGCACACAGACGCAAATGTTAGTTCAAATCCAAGAGTATATTAGCAGTAATGGAGAAGATTAGGGAGCGAAGATATGATTCGAGAAGTATAATTCAGTAAGATAAATTTAGAAGGAGAAAGGTAGAGATTATGAGCAATGCAGAAGTTTAGAATTTCATAGAACATAAAGAGTGAATGCACCTTGAGCCATTGCAAACGATTTTGAGCCATGTAGTTCAAGGTCTCTAACCATTGGTGACTATCGTCTGGCGGACCCCAACCACGTAGCCTACATCTACCAACATGACTCAGTCCACTTGTCACTGACTTCATGGATTTCTGCCATGTTTTGGTTTGGCCGTCCCTAGCTTTCTTCCAACCTACTCATACACAACAAAACATAGCTCATCGGGAGGTCGATGGTTAGTCATACGTAACACATGTCCCAACCACCTCAACTGATAAAGTTTCACTACTTCATCTATTGATTTGACATCTTTACCTAGAACTCGTTTTCTAACGACAGCATTGCTTACTCGGTTGTCCCAGGATACATGAGCAATGTTTCGGAGACAACGATGGTCGAAGACTAGTAACCTACGAAAGTCCTCTACTCTTAACGGCCATGTTTCACAGCCATATAGGAGAACTGAGCGAACTACTGCGCAGTAAACTGGTCCTTTGATTAGCAAGCAGACATCTCGCCTGAGCCATAAGTGACGCAGGTTGGCAAAAGCCAATCGGGCCTTCTGTATCCGAGCTGAGATTTCGTCAGTCACCAGGTCATCAGCACAGATGAGACTACCGAGACATTAATCTGGTTTGAATATTTTCAGTCAGTCAGCTATAACTTAGGACTTTGTACGTACTTATGTATGCATTTGGAAATACTTATGGCCTGTGTAATCGATATTCTTTCGGATTTCTGTCCTACTACTTAACATCAAGCCCATTCAATAAAAAAAGGAGTGAATCATAACTTTCTAGGTGTATTTTACACCAACAGAAATATCACCTGTTAGCTATATCTTATATCATCTGCATAGACTTGTACATATTTCTATTCTGTACATTTAAGTTATGAGCCCAAACAGTTGTTATTGTCAGTATCATTTGTATTCTTTTCTAATTAGAGAAATTAATTTTAAACAATTTAAGCAACACTTAAATCTTGATTACGATAAACTAACTTTGCATAAATTATGTACCATTATTATTTGATTTAATTAGTAAACACAATATAGCATTGATCAATTTACATTCAACCAGCTGGGTGGATATGACATTTTAGTAAAATAATTATTTAAATAGTTCAAACTACTCACAAGTAGTATACATTTCAAAGATTATTCATATCATGAACGTGTTACTGTCAGAGCAGTAGGGTTGCTTTGTTTTAGTATGGAACTGCTCGGTAATGTGTATCAATAGTTTCATTAGATTTCAAGTCTTTGACTTTTATGCCTCGTTCTCTACAACAGAGTCACCTTGATAGATTGATTTTCGATTGACCACATTATCGACTTATTTTAATTCACCCAGTTGAGTGATCAACCACACTTGGATCGACGATTATGTCGGAAGCCAATAATGGTGGCCAAAATAAATGATTTTTTCTTAATGATACATCGTAATATACAATCGCATTCATTTGGGAACACTAATATCACTGATAGGATAGAAACTTAAGTTGCGATCCCACCAAATTTTCCTTGTCTTGTACTGACCATCAACACAGGAACTCTGCCAGGAGCCCTTCTACTGTTATAGTCACTCCCAAGACCGGATAATGGAGGAGGGTTGGGTATAGAGTTGGCGACCGCATTCCACAGGAATTCGACTCGCTTAAAGAACGCTAACCAGAAAAGTAATTCGCTGGTCGGCGGCCAATGCTCCACCATAGGTAACAGAGGTAAGTAAGAACCGGTAGTAAGTGTAACACACAGGGAAAAATCACTATAACTTACCTATACCATACTTTACACGATAATACTCTTTGGTAAATTCATCACAGTCACAAATTAAAAATTTCCTCCCGTAAACATTAATATTTGCACCGATTCTTAAATCATAATCTTTGTAGAAATTTTCTTTAGGTGCACCCAGCTATTGTGGTTTTATTAGAAAAGAGGAAATCAGTGAATCAGTTAGTTTTATCAATTGTCTAAATACTATTCAGATTCAATTTATATAAAATAAACAGTGATTATAGTACATTTTATTTTGAACAAGTATATCTCCACTATTAGTTCAGGTTCGATCTTTTTTTGTTAAAATGAGCATGAACAATCAAAATAGAGAACTATTGAAGAACAAATACTTACTTTACGCCTGGAGCAAAGGCCGCCCACCAGTTTACTCCAACCAACTTTGTCCTGGGCTTCGCTTTCAAGTTCTGTCCAATTATTATTCATTCTTCTTATTATCTTTCTCTATTTCTCGGCGTAATTAATGTGTTCCCTGGCCTTCTCCTTTTGCTTTTGCCTTGAGGGTTCCATGTGAGGGCTTGTCTTGTGACGCAGTTTGGTGCTTTTCGCAGTGTGTGTCCTATCCACTTCCACTGCTTCTTCCTGATTTCCTCGTCCACTGGAATCTGGTTTGTTCTCTCCCACAGTATATTGTTGCTGATGGTATCTAGTCAACGAATCCGAAGTGTTTTGAGTAGACAACTGTTAATGAATACTTGTATCTTCTGGATGATGGCTTTGGTAGTTCTCCAAGTTTCCGCTCCATACAGTAGAACTGTCGTGACACTTGTATTGAAAATCCTGATTTTGATGTTGATTGATATTTGTTTGGAGTTCCAGATATTTTTCAATTGTAGAAATACAGTCATTGCTTTGCTGATCCGCGCCCTCACATCTGCATCGGATCCACCTTGGTTGCTGATGATGCTGCTCAGATATTTAAAGGTGTCAGCGTCCTCCAAAGAATCTCCATGAAGCGTGATTCGGTTGACGCATGTTGTTTTGTATCGTGGAATCTTACTTTACCATTTATGTATGTTGAGATCTACTGCTTCTGAGGCTGCCGCTACACTGGTCGTCTTCTCTTGCATTTGTTTTTTCATGTGCGATAGAAGAGCCAGGTCATATGCGAAGTTCAGATCGTCTAGCTGCGTCCTAGATGTCCACTGAATACCATCCTTCTCTCCAGATGCTGACGTCTCCATAATCCAGTGGATCACCAGGAGAAAGAGAAGGGGTGAGAGTAAGCAACCCTGCCTGACACCGGTCTTCACCTCAATTTACATTGTTAGTCGATGTAGATTGAGTATCGACTGAATAGTTAAACATGATATGTCAAGTGTTTCAAAATATTCAGGAACTGATGATTTATAATCATTCATAATTAGTAATGCTATTAGACTAATGGATTTCCATAATCAGATTGAAAGTGTTTGTCTTTGAAATCTAGGATTTCATTTTATTACCAAAATAATTGAATTATTATACATTATATTGTGTATTACAGTCATTGTATGAAATTCAAAATTGATACCTCCTTATAAAAACTGATGCAGCTGACCAGACTGATATGATGGTTATGAACGGCTTAAATTAGTTGGTATGCATCAACAGCAAACACCACCTCACTTCCTGTCGCACTAAGGCAATCTTTCTCTTAGTAATCGACTGGACTATGAAGATATTCATTTCTGAGTGGAAGCGCAGGACACAGCGGACAGCTGGAATGCATCAATACGACCTAGACTTCGCAGATGATCTGTCTTTTCGATTCAACATGCAATAACAAATGAAAGAAAAGATGACCAGTGTACCTGTATCCTCTACGTCAGTACTTCTCAACTCACACAAGAGAAAAAGCAACATTCACCGATACAGCACAGAATAAACCAACCAAATCATAGTTGACGGATAGGCTCTGGAGGCTGTCACAGCTACATCATCGGTTAACAAGGTGGATCTGATTCAGATGTGAAGACACGGACTAACGAAACAAAGAAGTCATTTCTACAATTAAACAACATCCCCAACTCAAGACAACTATCAATAAACACCAGAGCGGAAACTTGGAGAGCTACGAAAGCCATCATCCATAAGATACAAGTGTTTATTAACAGTTGTCTACCTAAGATACTGAGGATCCTTTGGCCAGATACCATCAAAAACAACCTACTGTGAGATAGAGCAAAACCAGATTCCAGTGAAGGGAGAAACCATGAAGAAGCGCTGGAAGTGGATAGGACATACTTTGAGGAAAGCACCAAACTGAGTCACAAGACAAGCCCTCATGTGAAATCCTCAAGTCCAAGAGAAAAGAGGAAGACTAAGGAACAAATTATACTGAGAAATGGAGACAGATTTGGGTGGAATGAACAGCGATTGGATAGAACTGAAAAGGAAGTCACAGGATACAGTATGTTGGAGAATGCTGGTCGGCGGACTATGCTCTATTATAGGGGTGAAAGTCGGTAAGTAAGTAAGTAAGTAAGTAAGTAAGTAAGTAAGTAAGTAAGCCATTGAAATATATGCAACACGACCTATAACTGCGTAGAATTATTGTTTAACGGAAATACAACAATTGCCTGCACTTTTTTAAAACAGATGCTTCAAGTAAGAAACATCTATAATCTCGGTTTTGTCCTCTAGGAGATCGACATCATCTGATCAGTTCAACTTCAGTTCTCAAGTATATACTTACATTATTTTATCGCAGTCTTTCGGATCTCCTCTTTCTCATTTAAAGTTGTTGTGTAAAAATTGTGCGACCCACTGAATGTTTCTCTAATACCGTCCTTAATAAAGGATTAGGTAAATAGGTTTTTTACAAGACATTTACCGCATAATCTAGTTATTCAACTAGATATCAGACACTTGAAAATAAATCCGTGTAACAAACCACTAAGTAAGTACTCACAAAGGATTAATTTAACTAAACTAGATCAAATTATCTAATCTAAACACTTGGTAATCAACTAGAATGATCACTTAAGCCGCAGAATTCAAAAAATCTCAGTGAATACACTTATTGCACATTGAAATCATCAACTAATCATTGTTAGATCACCATTAGAAACATGGGAGCACTGGGCGGCCGTTTCGTCCTAGCATGGGACTCATTAGCAGTACGCATCCACGACTCGAACCCAGGACCCTCGGTCTTGCGCTCGAACACCTAACCTCTGGAGGTCTGGTTGAAATGACTGTCCAGTGCTTCCAGGTTTCTAATGGTTGTCCAACAATGATTGATTGATTGATGATGATGATGATCTCCATAATTCTAATTGAAGAATACACTTATATTTACAAAAAAGAATACTATAAGTTAAAATGAAAAGTTCCATTTGCTTTCGATTGAGATATTACCTACCTTTAAACTATCAAGTATATAATGTTCAGCTTTTTGTGATTGAAAAGATACATTTAACAGTGTTCTATCAGTGACTACACCAGGTAACGGTATAGGTGAGACTGTACGTGGTAGTTTTTGACGACGTAAAAAGCATGGTGCAGCATCACGACCTGAATTGTCCGACATAACTTCACGTATTTCAATTGTATCATCAGCTGAAATCAGACAATAAATAATAAGAGTGAAACTAACTTTTACATGAAACGAATAAAAATTTGTGTTTTCTTTTGAGGAAACGGGAGTTGAAGAAGCTTTTTTTGCCAGATTTGAATACAACTCAATTGAACATTGAGTTGTTTTATCAAGTGGTTGGAGGAAATTAATCAAAGATAAATCAAAGATGCGAATGATGGAATTCAAGTGTAGATATAACATAAAATTTGTTGACAGTGAAAAGTTATGAGATAAATCGATTTAGAAAATGACTTTTCACTTTTTTCACAAGTTTATGATCGCGTTTAGAATATATTTCAGGAACGGAATATTTGACTATGAGATTTTCTGTTTGTTTCCTGCACTAACTCAAATAGACTATTGGTAATTTGGAAAAAAAGAACTCGAATACGTATTGATCTTCGTACTGTCAATTATACCGATACATTGAATACAACCTTCATTTTGATAATATTTATTTCATTGATAGGTAAGTAGTGTGTCTGTGTTACATTCAAAGTAGGCTCAACATTTTTAAGTGGCCCGAGATGTGACTCCAGTTTTGGACGAATGATCGCATATACAATGAAATAAATCTTGCTTTCCATTTCCGCATATCATACGTAGATAGGCCTTGTGTGTTCAACGGCGGCAACAAGAAGCCGAATGCAGTTTATTTCATGTACTCATTGAAGCAGACAGTGGTGAGAATGAAAAGCGTTCAAGCATAGCGAAGCGAATCGGAAAAGGCGAGAAGGGTTACAGTAGTTATTGGTGTTTGACAACTGATAGCCACCTTAACTATGATCAATGGAAGCTTTAATCGATAAGTTAGTGAGTGTTTCGCAGATCTATACACTAAACAGATCTAGATAGACTGGCTGGGGCTGGTCAAATGGTTGAAATAAGAACTAAATTATAATTTATATTATACGCTATTTACAATCTACACACAGTCGATGAAAATAAACGCTTTGAAAATTGACGTGACTATCAAACAGACAAATATCAGTTTGATGAAAATATAATCAATCAATCTTACTTGTTTGTTTCCTTTACTCACCTAAGTAATAATTCAATACCATTTCTCTAGGATCACCATAAAGTGAGTCTGTATCATCCCAAAAGCAGAAAAATCTCAAAACATGACGATCATGATCAAGAAATTGACGAAGTTTATCCATTCTTTCATATGGTCTACGTGGTTGCATACTCTCAGTAAACTAATCATTAAAAAGAAAGATAATAAATAAATTTGGCAAATGATATCTTTTTCTGCTTGGGGACATGTTATAATGCAATGAATATTGTCGAAGTTGCAACTGATTTTCCGAAACAATATTAGTCCTAATTGTATTATTTTTAATAGCTAGACAACTATGTCATCAATATTCCGTTTATGATGAAGTTTCAATCAAACCACCACTAACTAAGGTTATAAGATTTATTATTTCTTAGTTACCGTTAGTTCATCACCTACAGTCTCCCCTTATTTACTGCCATTTTTGGTTTGTTAATGTATAAGTATTACTTTTCACTTTACAGTGTAATGTGGCATAATATGTCGTCGTGAAATTTGGAAAAAACCTGTAGAGGTTGGTTACTACTCCTAGACTCACTCACATAGACTAACACATAAGTATTTATCCTCGTGTTCTATTAACTAGTGCAATTATCACTGTGGTGCGAGCTACTTATAAGTAGTATATGACGTGAGTGTCAACGTAATGTCTGGAAGGAAGAGTTAGAACACAATTGAATTTGTATGAAACGCATGAATAGTGAAAATGGATTGATGTTTGGCAACAGGAACAGTCCCGTTCGATATGATGAACTGATATTTTGCTAGTTAACGATTTACGATATGATTTTCCGATTTTACTGAGTAACTCTGTAATTTCCGTTAAATACAATTCGGTTGCACTCACCTGTGTTCTCAAACACTACATCACTACTAGTCCTATATAGCACACATAAAATATTAAAATATATCGTGTTGGTGGCTTTTGTTTCAAACATAAAAGTGTGATTACAGATACATTCATTTGTCTAGCCTTGTCTAAATTGCAGTTGTAGTAAATTACTTAACGTGTATGCGAAAAAAGAAAAAGGTGGGTTAAAACTGTGCTATCTTGAAAAGATTTTACATTAACAAAGACTCTACTTGCCAAATCTGAATCTGCTTACAGTATTCACACCGACAACTTAGTTCCATGCCTTAGTTTGTCTATCTTTAGATAAACTTTAGCATAATTCGACTAAAATTAGCTCGTTATTTTATATTAGTTCGTTTTATTTCGAATAATAAAACACACACAAAGAACAATGAAACTGTATTAACCAATTACATCCAGGATTCAGTTATATAATCACAGTATACCCTATAGACCGGAAGAATTTATTAGTAGGGTTTTTTGGTTACTTTTCCAGAAGACAGTAGACAATCTTGAAGTGATTTTGAATCGCTTCAGCTTACATCTTCATGACAAGTATCAGAAAGCAAACCCACACGGAACTTCCTATGAGCCGATTTCAGGCAGTCGGCATAGTCATATTTTTAAATTTTGTGGGTCGAAATCTACCGATATGGCAGATAAAACAGTCCGAGCTGGACATTCATGTCTAACAGTTCAAATGTAAGCTACTTCGGTGTTTTTACAAGAAAAAATAGACCTAAAACGTTTTTATCCAATTAAAACTATTCAGAACAACTTTATGACCTTCACAAGCTTTATATAAAATGTAAGTCTTAGATATTACTGAAGCATGAGCTGGATATCATGTTTTTTTAATGATGAACAGTAAAATTATATTTTGGGTTACATTAATGGATGGTACTTTTGTTAACTTTTTGAATAAAATAAAAACATGCAACTGCGTATAGATGATACCTTGACAGCATTTAAGTATATGAAATATGAAATTTTTTAACATAACGCTTTATAACAATTTAGAAAAATTACAACTTGCTAATGATTGTTACAAGATAAATTAAGTCAAACAAAACAAACACTCAGGCCACTCACAGCTTTACGATGCATACTGTAAGGATCATCTGGTATAGGTTCCGGTGCGCCTAATGTTACACCGAGTTTACGTAGAAAATTTGCCGTAAAATGATCACAAGAAACAATACGAAATGTTTTTCCATAAGCTGTAAATTCTGTCCCCACATTGAAGTCATGTACTGTATAATAGAGATGATCATTTGGCTTAGGTTTGGGAATACGATGTCGCTTGATGATTGTTCCTTGATTGAATAAAATTATTAAAATAGTTATTGCTGAAATATTTTAATAAATAATAATAATCTCAAAACATTTATCATTTAATGAATACGGAGTAATTGTTAATCTGTTTGAGGATAAGGTTTTTTTCAGAATAACACAACAGATATTTGTTGTTTTCCTGGCGCTTATGACAAAGTAATGAAATCTTGTAAGTATATAACTGCTAGATAGCCGAAATCCTTTTTTAATAAACTTAGATTTTGAATATGGTAAGTTATGTGACGAAAATACCTAGAAACTATTTGATGTTTGAAAATGGACCATTGCCAACACATCACCAGTACATTAAGTCATTGACTGTTCAAATAAAAATCCAGTGGGTATGTCGTCTAAAGGAAGAAATAAAAAATAGTAATCTGGAAGATGATTTACTTCATGATCATGGAATAGATGTTTATCTGATGGTCGGAAGATAAAGTTTGAGACCAGGTACAAAATGATGTTCACTTTTGTCGTGATCCAGGTTAAATTAAAACATTTTTCTGCAGTGCTTCTTTATCTGGTAACTAACTCTGTTCTTAAAAACATCATCAAAGTAGTCAATTATATACATGCACTTCATTTCAATAAATATCAGCGTCAATATAAATCCTTATAAAGGTTCCTAAAATTGTGTTGATGTAGTCAGATAACCTTTCTAAATTCAGATTGATGTACGGCATATGCTTTGAGAATGTAATTTATTAAACATAGATAGCCATTACTTTCTAACGTAAAGAATGCTACAAGACAGAAAACATTTTTAAATCGAAACAGCAAAGAGAAGTAAGTATTAAGAGAATTACCCTGTGCCATTCCAGTGTTTGCAATTCGTGGTTCATCTACCTGAATAGTATCATCTTCTGGATAAAATAAGATTTTGCATCTTCTAATACGATATTGTTCTTCACGTCTTTCATTAACAGATTCTTGGAAATAGGCATCAAAAGATAAGGCCTAGTTGACAAAAAAACAGAAAAAATATTTGTTTTTTGAACAAAAATATGCAGGTAGTAGACTGGTGAGAGGTACTGTAAACCGAAATTGTTGAAAAAAACTCAAGAGTTTTACCTGTGTATGAAAAACAGCAAAATAATCCTAGATCATTTACCACGACAGTAAGTTTCCATGAAGGTCTCACTGATTAGGATTCATGGACTTTGTTTCGTTTTCCTCATGCTTTAACGAATATGACATATAAACGATACCAACAACCAAATAACAGCTATCAACTTTTCAAAAGCCGAATAACTCTTATCGAACAAATGTAACTTAAGTCAATAAACTTGTTACGATGTATACACTCATATTTTAGATAGAGAGATGACACCATTCAGCTAATATGTTATATCCAACTTAGTGATTTACTAAAATTCTCTCTGCATCAGCATGACCTGATAAGTCTAAAACATGTCAATTTTATTATTTGCTTCCTAAGTTCTAATGAACATATGGAAAGCGAGTGTAAATATTTGTCAAGCACCCTACCAATATCAACAATACCATAAACAATGATTACTTTCGTCCACGCTATTAAAGGATATTTATTTAAGACTGCAATCATTGGCTATTCGCTCAACATTTTAATTAACTCCTAACTATTGTCGTTTCCAATGTACATAATTCCCTTGACATCATATGATCAGACAAAGATCACACCTATTGACAAAATGACATCAAAATTTATCAGATTTTCAATACCATACTTTCTGCAGATCGAAGTATTCTAACTAATTTAACTCATTAACTTCGATTTTATACTAATATCGGCTACGACAGATTCTGGGTACAAACATGCACAAAGACAATTTCAGATCAAACATTTATTCATTCTTCGTTTAGGAGGGAACATAGTCAATAACACGAACAATCACATGTATAGTTATGAGGGTACGGAAGCAGTTAAATAAGAGCTTATATGACTGAAAAACCCATGTATCTCAGATTGCTCTCAATTTACTTGTGGGGACTTTGAGCTTCAAGTTAATTCCTTTTCACTTCTCACCTGTTTGTCGAATGCCAGCCACGGAGGTAGTTTACTGCCTACTCCAGGTGGATAAACACTGGTTGGTGCCTCGATTCTTTGTCCTGGTAGTTTGTCTCCACCAATTCCTGGTTTATGATCTCCATAAATATAAGTTTCATGACCTTTTAGTTCTAGATAATGCGATTTGTGAAACTTTTCTTTTCCAATCTAAATTATCACATAAAAGAAATAAAATTTTACATTTCTGTTAAAACAATATCCTGGAAGAAAAGGTAAAGCCATCAGTTGGCAGGAATTTCAAATAGACGCGTGTTATTGCTCTATGGTGCTCAATCAATATCCAATATCTTTCTCACGAGTGAGTATAAACCAGTTGTTTTCTTTGCGCTAGATTCTTGTTCTTTCGGTACGCTTCTTAGGTATCCGGTAGTGTTTGTGGGGCCTTGTGAAATCCCTGATGTTGAGACCTGCCAGCTCGCATGCAGTCTATTTATCTTGGTACGAAACGTACTGTTCTCAAGGATGTTTCTGAGCCAAGTTAGAAGTGGATCGGTGCAGCAAACTTCAAAATTACGAGTGCGTTAGGTACTTTGTTGTGGATTTTGTGATGTGAACTGTTATTTTTCCTTTTTCGGCAGGTTGGCCTGCAGTCCCATGATATAAGAACATTGGATATTCCCGACCTGTCTTTCTTAGACCTGAGTTGAGCTTCATGTAAGATGTTGTTCATAAATATGCAAGCTTCATTTACTCATTCACCAGTCTTCCCATTATCTTCGATAGTAATGATAGTAACACGAATGGTCTGTTACAGTTTGAGTCCTTCCTATCTCTCCTTATGAAAACTGGGGAGAGTAGCTTGCTTTTATTCAGCTAGAAATGACTCCACAGACATACCGGTGAACTGAGGGCTTTCACATATTTCCAAGGTTAAAGGATAAATACTGTCACATCAACGTGACTTTTCTGTGTATACCGACCTTACTTTTCTTCCTGCTAAACGAATTTGAATATTCTCTAGGCCATCAGCTAGCACTGAATTAGAGTAGTACTCTAGGCCTTTTAATACCTGGTGTAACTGATCAGTGAAGTTGGAGTTGAAGCTCGCAGCTATCACTGGGTTTGTAAGATCTATTTCATTTGACCTTTGAGTGCACAAACACATTGGTTCGTAGGTTTTCTTTTGGTCATAAACCATGATAGATATTTCGGGTTTGCCAATACTTTGGCAGCTGGCTTCCTCTGGAAGTGTCTCTCATCACTTTGAACCTTGGTATTTTATCTGTTTCTCAATGCCTGAATCCTTCATTGATATCCTTCACATGTTACAGGCTCTCCCCTACGCCTATAGAAAGCCTTCAGTGCCTCGCTAAACCGACATTTTTCTCTTTCGAAATGTGTGATGTTACTAAGGCATGTAGTGTAAGACAGCATTCTGAATGATATCTCTAAATATGTGCCAGCGGTCGTCAGCACTTAGCTAACATCATTCCCGCGGTCACAAGATATTTAAAAGATAAAAGTCTAGTTTACCCTTGTATAGCAAAGGTAGGTTTCGTTTTCGTCCATCCTGAGTATCTCGTTGATGATCACATTAAATATGACAACGCCATAGTCTTCAGATGGTGGCGGAGCTCAGAGAACGAGACTCCGCCGAAAATACCATAGTCACTTCTTTATATTGGTGTCTGGACATGAAAACCCTCGACAGTCGTTAACAAATAATCCAAGTTTCAGCTTTTCTGCCTTTAGTCAATCCAGTGACATAACATACCTGCTCATTCAGTCCGCAACGTTTAACAGCCCCTCCAAGCCTCATTTGGAAATACCTAGTGGGAGGTTTTCCCTGTTTGTAGAAATTTAGAGATACAGTGTTGACGAAATCTTCAGCTAAGAATATTTGATCATATCCAAGGAGCGGTAGTTGTAGTATAACCCTAATCATTTTATATTTCTGGGTATAGGTAATTGAAGGAAGGCCGTATATCTCACCAGTCGATTATTTTGTGCCGTTTCTGCCGAAGAAATGCCAGTACGACTCTGTCACATAGGTTAGTTAGATTCAGTGTATTGTTTGGATATGAAATGTTTGTCAGTATACTTTCCCAATCCGCCATCTACATGGTGTACGCTATCTGTTAGGCCTTCCCTAAACAAAAAAGGCGAGTGCGTACCTGAGTGCATTCTCTTTCATGAGTGACGTATTGAACCTTACCTCGGGTAAAGTGGTAGTGATGTTTCGGTAGGATCATCGTGTTGGGACGATATATTGTGACATTATTAGGTCATCTTTGAGGCTCCTATAGCCCAGCCGGAAAAATTCCAAATGTTGAAGTCTATCTTTCTGATGTTTCTTCCTTCACACTGTCGTAAATTTAGTTGTTCATCTCATAATTCGATTCATCTTCTCAACCTTAAAAATATATAGTAGTTGAGATACTGTATAGAAGCGTTTTGCTACGACAACGAATAAAACATGAGCTGCTACGTTTCGGACACAGAAAGTTGTTCAGCATTCCCATGCTGTGTGAATATTGAATGAGCATGACAAATAGAACATTTGCGCGCAAAGGTGTTATAAACGAAAAGTACAGTTTGACAATCACTGGTACAATCGGTTTTAATAATGAATGTTTCTATCACCACCAGCTACAGCCTGCTGTCTGATAAAACAAGCCAAATTCCATCAGAAGAGGAAATTAAAGGGAAGCGTTGGAGTTGGATATGACTCACATAAGGGTCAGTACACAAATTTCATTTACAACTTGCCAATGATGGTCATCGCTTTCGAATCTACAGTAGAAAATTTTCAGCAACGTTGGTTTTAGAAAAAGACATCGACTGGCACTGACTAAACTACCAGTTATTACCAAAAATTCAACGAATATATTGACACTGAAGGTCATTAGATAGCACCCTCACTTTTTGTTCTTCCTATTTTAAATACGATCAAGTCGACAATATTTTAATATTGTCCGTACCATAAGATTTGATCGAAAAAAATAAGTGAAGTCTTGTTCTCAATTACTGTTCCGAAACTTTATTCTTTTAGCGTTTACTTTCAAAAGACGAATGAATTGCAACCTGTATATATCTGCTTCACGATTTCAATGTACAATATGAACTTTCGTTGGCTTCATACAGTGATTTTTTCTCTAACACATTCAATCAACCGACCTAACAATGATTACTACAGCTAGAATGGTCTCGAACTTAATTTAACTTCTAACACAAATCTCAATTCCCATGGGAAATAAATCATCCACACTATTTTTACAAAGAAGGCAGCATGAGTGACTTAACCAATGTCCACTATTTTATCCAATCCCAGCTGATATCAGTTTGGAATAAACAGTGTAGACCTTCTGAATTTTTGTCGTTTCTTTAAAATCAGCTAAACAAGATTTAGTTATCTGTCTGAGAAAATCCATCACCAAAATAAGATATCTCGTACGTGTATGACCTAGCGTTTATGCATGATTTTTACGTTTTTTTGTGTGAACATAAAGTGAACGTTCACCCTACCAGACACACAGTCGGTTTTTCATTCAATATCTGAAAGTTCAAACCTTCTAAAGCTTCGTAAATAACAATGATTTTTGTCTCAATCGATACAGCAAACCTGTGCAATTCTTTAAGCAACTTGTTAATTGTTTTTTATTGAGGCTCTTTAAGCAATAGGACTTTGGAATATTCTACACTCACGTGTGGTACCTCTGTGAATACCACAAAAATAAGTACAAAAACTCATTTGTGTTGGCTTAGAATAAGATTGCAGGAAGAACCAAACTGCGTCACAAGGAAGCCCACATCTGTAAACCTCAAGACCAAGGGAAAAGAGGAAGAATGAAGAATATATTATTCCAAGAATCGGAAGCAGACATGGAAAGAATGAACAAGAATAGGTGGAACTGGAAAGGAAGGTCCAAGACAGAGTATGTTGGGGAATACTGGTCGGCGGACTAAACTCTAAGAGTGCTAACAGGCGTAAGTAAGTAATAAATTTAAAAGAATTGTATCAGACGCCCAAATGATAAAATATTTATGTGGCAAACAACATGAAAATCCTCGAAGAAACGATTATATGCGGGTTCACGTGAAAATAACGATCAGTTGTCTAACAATAACAAGGAGATTTTTAATTGTCAAGAGAAGCAGCTAGAGCCAACTCGCTCAAAGTTGACCGTCCATAATTTGAAAGAATTCTTCCAATTTACCCAATTACAATAAAGTGGTAATATTGCTGATTAACGTCTGGTCTCGTTCGGTATATCATCAACCCAACTAGAAGAAACTATGGAATTTATATGTGAACACATTAATCTTCCTCCTTTACCAAAGAATAACTTTACTCAAATCTTACCAATGTGTACATATGACTTATAATTCCGGTAGAACAATATCTAATATCGCCAAGTCGATGAAATCGCTATGGGAAGTCCGTTAAGCCCGATTTCGACTGACACTTTTATGGCCATTTTGGGACAGGCAAGGATGAAAGCTATAAGTAGTGAGGTATCTTTGTATGTCAGGTATGTTGACGACACATTTACTGGTAGTAATAATCACAAACATGCTTCCAATGTGTTGAATTGCCTCAATCATGTACATTGATGTATGTGATTTACAGTGGACAATAAACAAGAAAATAACTTTCATTTCCTAGACCTACATATCCAACGTAGTGAAAATGGTCAAGTTCAAAGATTTATTCTTCAAAAGGCTACATGAAATGAATTTTATGTAATCTCAATAGCTTCTTTCCGATAAGTTATAAGCACGCCTTAGTCGGTACTCTGTTCAGTCGAATACAAAACTTATGTTTGGAAGACAACACAGAGGAATTAATCACTGTTGCAAAGTGTCAAGGATAATAGCTATCCACGAAATTTCATCAACAAATACAGGAAGATAATTAAGTTAGCAGTAAGCTACGGTAGACAAAAAGCCTATTTTGTTACTGCTTAGCTCTAAAGGTAATTAATTATCCCACCAGATTGATTTCGCACTTGGAGATGTATTTAAAAAGACTCATCCAGCATCGAAACTAGCTTCAGCATATCAAACAAAGTGTTGACTGTGATATTAGAAAGTGGGAAATTATTCACCTTTCGTCACTTACAATTGTGTTTACTAATTTACATTTACGTACCAAAGCATATATAATGCGAGAGCAGAAAGAAGAGTAAATGTTCTCATCAATGAGCATATTCTTCAAAAATTGAGACTAACGGGTCAAGTTCTCTCAAAAATTCTATTGTCTGTCATTCAACTAACATAACGTTGATAATTCGAAATCGTCCACAGTTGTTAATGGACAAGCATCTTCGATTTCATTATGTTTTACCGAAGCATTCGCAATCAATACGTATGTAGTGAATGAGAACACAGGTGGAGGCAACCGAATTGTATTTAACGAAAATTACAGAGTTAGTCAGTAAAATCGGGAAACCATATCGTAAATCGTTCATTTGCAAAAGATCAGTTCATACTATGGAACTGGACTGTTCCTGTTGCCAAACATCAATCCATTGTCACTCTTCATGCGTTTCATACAAATTCCATTGTTTTCTGACTCTTCCTTTCTTGATCTTCCCCCCATATTATGCTACCAGACTTTACGTTGACACTCACGCTATATACTACTTATAAGTAGTTCGCATCACAGCACCACACGTAAACCAGACTTATGCACTGAAAAAGACGCTCATGTCTCTCTTGCTTTGCACAGATGACTTTTTTGATAATATTTATTTGCAATTAAAAAACTAATTTGATTTTTTTTACTTCTTTAGTTTTATCTTTCCATCAGTTGTTCAATCTCCTTTAGTTGACATTATAACGTAACAACCTCTTTCTTGTTAGGATTACGCAACTTTATCGGTATTATTATGTAACCCTGCATATCAGTCGTTTTTCTATTCGTTCGCTGGTTTTGGTTTAAATTTTGGAGATGATTAATTACATTGTATTTCATTTTCGATTATGGACATGAATACTCTAACCGCTGTGACAGATAAGTAAATATTGATCGATTGCTTATGTCCGATAATTATTTTATTATGCATGGCTGTAAGATATGACATTTAATTATTGTTAACTGTGTGAAGGTAGCAGCCCTAATATATATATATATATATATATATATATATATATATATATATACATGCCATGGTTGTTTGGAATAATTGAGTGTGATCGCTGATTTATCACCATTTCCGCGCATCACTAAAAACTATTTTGATACATATTTTGCGGCTTTTCCCGAAATGGTTCACAGCTGTAATTAATAATTATCACTCGAAATCCATCCACGGATTCATTAAGATTAGAAAAATCTAACTCAGTCCAATCATAGATCGGATCATGGGTATTTTCAATAAGTACACTATGTGGTTAGTTATCCCAATCCCGGATAAAGGAATAGGGTTGCGCACGTGGTTATCAACCTAATCCTGTAGAAATGCAACTGGCTAAAAAAGCGCTAAGCAGAAAATTATTCGCCGGTCGGCGGCCTACTCTCTATTACAGGTAACAGGAGTAAGTACTGACTCCCTCATCGAGCTAAATTTTACGGTGTAGGAGTAAGTTGGAAGAAAGTTAGGTACGGCCAATCCAAAATATGGCAGAAATCCATGAAGTTACTGACAACTGGATTGAGTCATGTTGTTAAGTGTAGACTATCCGGTTGGGATCCACGAGAATGATAGTAATCGATGGTTAGCGAACTTGGATGACATGGTTCAAAACGGTTTACAATGATGCAGGTGCATCCATTGTTTGTGTTCTCTCAAATTTCAATCTTCTGAATTCCTAATGAACGTTATTTAACTGGTTCCATTGGGGTATATATCTCGAATGATATATTCGACGACCATTAATCTTTTTGATTACTGCTAATACTTCTACCACTATGGAATTTGAATTGACAGTTGCGTCTCTGTATTAATTAATATATGTAGTATGGCGACTTAAACTGATGTACGTATGTACGAAGTTCTAATTTGCAACGGATTGGCTGAACAGAAGTATGTCATTCAACATTTTATGCATACGACTGATCTTGTAAACAACCAACTTCAAAATATTTTTAATCTAGTGGTTAGTTAGATAGTTGTGAAATACCATTTCACGGACAATTTTCTATTAAACCATTGTTATAAATTGATTTGAACGAAAAAAACGACACTTTCTAGATGACAGTTAATTGCCATTTAATCGGTAACCACTTGAAATTTATAAATTCATTAATTTCGTTAAAAATTACTTCATCGATCAATTCCAAGTAGATCATGAAATATATAATACAAATTGTAGTGATCGTCATCATTACAAACATCATTGATTTTAATCAGATTAATCGATCAGTCTACTGTTAATATGCTTCTTTTCATAGTAAATTCATAATGATTTCACGTGATCGAATCAATAGTTTATATTATTTTTCCAAGGTCACATTAAATTACTTCATTTCTTAGAAACAACACATATAAGTCGAATCGTCTCCAGTTCATTTGAATAAACCAATTCTATTCTGCTTAATAGAGTCAGTCATTTAGTCAGTCTTAGTTGCGGTGATGATTATAGATTTTCCCAATGTGGTAAATTTAAACAACACAGATAGATATAAGCGAACAAGATTAATGTTTTCAATTCGATCGTGATCAGGATTTATACAGAAATAAACATAAATATTATTTATATGAAAGTGTTAAACCGAATTAGGGCAATTTACGAGTCAATAATCACATCACTACATATAATTAGTAAAAGTACAAGTTGATAGTAGAAAGACACAGGTGTACTGATAGTAGTAGTAAGAATAATCAAAATTCAATAACAAAAGTTTTTGTCAATAGTTTAACACTAGAAATTGTAGGTCAAGCGTGGATAAATAGACATGGAATAATCATTACAAACATTAAAACCATTACGCAGTAAGAAATGGCCGAATAATTCGATAGTGAAGAAGTATGTAAACGGAAAGAGGTAGAGAATTACAAACAAATACAGGATGTGAAATTCATGCTAATAATAACAAAAATACAAAATTTTTTTAAAAACGTTAGTTAAGTTATATCCAGCCATGGAAGGGATAGGGGTGTCACGAATTTCCATCTGAACACATAGATTGGGATTGAATGTATGAATTCCTATAGCTTCTGGATTATATAGGAAATGTGGTTGAAGGTATGCGATAGATCACTAGAAACAATTCAGATTTATCTACAATATGACCCCTATCAATCAGATGTGTCAAGACAGAACTGCGTATTGTTTTTATCTGGCCCTTCATAAACCATGCTGGGAGGTGTCCACTCATTTGTTGGGTAAGTTGCCTAATGGTACGCACGGTCTAGCTGTCTCCACAGGAATATTTTCATTTCAATGTTCATGTTCATTAGATTAAAGCCTGTTAACGATCCAATTGAAAACAATTTTGTTCGCTTATATGTGTTTTTATAAAAACATTTCGTTTAGAAATTTAATGTATCAGTCAGTAATAAAGTAGAACTACATGAGTATGTACATCACTTCAACTTGCCATACCATATTAGCGCAAAGACAAAATTCTCAATTCAAATCCCATAGTTGTAGAGGTAGTAGAAGTATTAGCAGTAAACGGAGAGATTAGAGTATAGTCTAGTGAAATTAACTGAAGAAAAGACGAAACACTTAATTTAGAAGCAGATCAAAATGCTTACACATTCCTCACAAGAATTGTCTATATTGAATTCTTGTGAAAAATTATGTTTTTACATACTCTGTGCGGAATAAAATACTCGACCAGAATATAACTCCATTGTTAATTTTATTTTCCTAATATACTTGATCGATGAGATGTTATTAACAGAATCGTTTGACATTGTTACTTTCATTTATCTAAATAGTGATTATTTTTCTGATTTAAGCTTTAACTATTGAATCCTGACATTGAATTTTCATCGCTTGAAAGTTTGTATATGAATTAAAATGTTTGTTCTTAGCAAAATGGTCTACATTTCAATATATACTAAAACTAAGCAATATTTACGAACTTAACTGAGTTGAAATCGTAAATGAATCATTGTCAGATCACCACTAGAAACCTGAAAGCACTGGACAACCGTTTCGTCCTAGCATGGGACTCATCAGTAGTGCGCATCCACGACTACTGTACATCGCAGAATTCAAACTCAGGACCTTCAATCTTACTCGAGAACGCCTAACCCCTGGGCAACTGAGCCGGTATGCAACGGTGTTAATGTCTAACTCTGATCAATCTACTGATTTTTGTGCAACCTCACCCATTGTCTTTCACAGTTATTGCTTACACCTAACAAGGTTGAACCCCACTGGTTACGTCTTCACACTAGAACTCCCAGAATTTCTTCATACAGCCAGTCATTAGTGATTACATTGTACGATTTTATTTCAGTTAGTAGTGATAACGACAGAGAGAATGAGAATATAGAAGTAGTTAGACGCTCAAGTTGCTTTGGGGTTAAACTTTGTAAAACAAAATGCATTCAGTTTATTCTACTCAACTGTTTGTTTATGTTCTCTTGAAGTTAGTGCAGAAAACTAAATTTATCAAGCATTTTAATGAGAGAATCTTGAAATAATAGGGTTAGCTATAGTAACCTTAAGTTAGCAATGAAAACTTTACTAAAAAAACAGTGAGTATTCTTGTGATGATGAAGCCCAACAACCATATCAAAATTTTATAGACAAAAGAGCAATAAAGAGAGGAGTATTGATTTAATTACCATGGTAGTGTCACGTGAACAGCAAACTATTTTTGTACAAGCAGTATTGGGGTAGAGATGATGAAGAGCTCCTTTTCTAAGTAATCTCGAAGTTTGTCGTTATTCCGTCACCCCGAATCCAATACCAGGACTTACCGGACGACTCAGCTCAAGTATTTTTATGGCACTATTAGGTAGTTTGGAACCACTTAAGATTTGATTCTTTGTAGGTAGGTTCTTTTAACAGCCATTTTGTTTCATCTGTAATTCCTAAGTTGAGAACCGTAAATCTCAGGGTATTGCTGGCCTTTAGTGGACGCCTATTCTGTACACTAAAATTACTTAGCTTTAATCAGCGTCATCTTATCACATGTGAAAGTATCAGTGACTTTTGTATGATTGATTGATCACCTGGTAATAACGAATGTTACACTTGCCAAGTCCTTAGCGGTGATCGAAATTCTATCTATCAAGTTGAGATTTTTTCAGTAGTCTAACTGACTTGGAATAGCGTTCACGATGTTCGCATTTTGAGTGATGGTTGGAAATAGTCTATAGGAAATCCTGAACCAAGGTTTCATCAACAAGGTCTGTCTGTAATCTCAAAAGAACTGATGTTCCTTGGCGGATTCGACTCATATCATTCATCCTGACAGCCGAAAGCGTTATCGTTGAGCTATCCCAGTAACTTGATTAATAGGATTCGATCAACAATAAGGACTTGATATACATAACATGGTTTACTACTCAGTGATCAGTTATAAATACATCTCAGTACTACAGATCAATCACGGAGTGAATAGCACCACGGTAACAGTTCTAACAGTAAAACTGGGTATGAGTTCGTTGAAAGTTACAGACACATCTTGCTGATGAGTGGCAACGGCAACAAACTTCAGTCGAGTTCCTTACCAACCACCACCTTACACCGCTGAACTTCTTAATAGAACAGATGTGATTAACTAAGATAAAAATTATATAGTTTCTAATGATTTGGGGCTTAATGTACTATCTCTCATCATACGTTACTACATAAAGTTACGCAAGACTGATCTTCCAAGAAAAAGAATCATTATTCCCAATGAATACAAAATGAGCAGCCTCGTCTTGATGGCAAGTATTTTGGACAAACAGGCATTGTTAATGGAGAGTCCACTAGGCATCGTATTAACACACAGCAAAACCAATCTGTGATACTACAAGCGTCATCGTACTTCAGATATGTTGACAGTCACTTAGAACTTCATAAGTACGTACATTAGTTAGGGTCACCATACTACATTAGCTCATAGATCCAATTGTCAATTTAAATTACATAGTAGTGGAGGTAGTATGTTGATGATACTTTCATCATATGTGGTAATTTCGTAGGTGGTAGTGTGTTATACGATGAGCAATTCTGATACCCCAGAAGCTACCTCAGTGACGACGTTCTGCTAAATAGTGAATCGATAAACCTATTCAATAAATGAATATATATCCCTTGAGAATTTAACTAATATGTTAAACTAATTGTCTTGTTCCTTAGGAAAGAAAGCTAAATTTTGGCTAATAGCCTGCTCGTAGCATTTGACTGGAATCCGATTAGTTCACTGTAACACCTTTGTGTTAGGGAGAAAATGTGGTCTAGTTGGGTCGGCTTTGGGGGTTGCCAGGTCAAGAGATGTTTTTCCTTATGCTTAAAGTTAGTGTTTGCTAGAAATAGGCGATTATCTGAGCATTGCTGTAGCAGATGTTCGCCATTATCTGATCTCTAAGCCACGACACCATAAGATCCATCGAGGTGTCTTTCCATTTCACTTAGTCTACCTACTTGAACATAGAAGTCACCAGCCATTATTACTATATCACAGCGTTTGTCTTTTTGAAGAAGGTAGAACGGTTTCGGTAAAAGTGATCTTTTATCTCGTCCGAGCTGCAGTCAGTGGGAGCGTAGGCAGAGACAACAAATAGACAACGGCGAGTTTCACTACCTTTACAAGACCTTACCGTCCCGTTTAGTCAGACTGCGCATAAGCGACTGTCCAGCAGTATCCAGTCTAAGAGTTCTAGTTCCGCCCTAGGACTTAATACTATACCTGCACCAGCGAAGCGACGGAAAGCAGCAACAGGGCTTCCAGATACACGAAGCGACAATAGGCAACGATAGACAACTGTTCAGACTTATCAAGGCAACCGGTATTAGGAATCTGATTGTAAGTGGGACTATCTCGGAGAAGGATGGGACTATTATTTATTCCCAATCCAGGAGATTGGATCGACGGGCAGAACACTTTAAGGATCAGTTCAACTGGCCTTCAGCTACACTTTGGTTACCCACGATTCCTAGTCAAACTGAATGGAATGAAATCGAGAAAGTTATAGGAAATCTAAAACGAGGGAGATTAGCGTGTCTTGATAGGCTTACTCCTGAGATTTTTGAGGAAAGTGGTCCAGTTTTAGCAGTTAGATTGACTGAGATCTCAGGTAGAATTTGGGAACCGGGATTATTCTCATTTGACTGGTCTCAATCCCTGTTTGTTCTAATATACAAGAAGGGACAAATGCCCCTTATGACATTCACAGAGGAATCATTTCAACTAAAATAGTGTATAAATTGTTATCCTCGATAACACATAGACACCTAACTAGAGCTCGTGAAGAACAGACTCAAGAAAACCGAGATGGTTTCAGACCTGGAGTTGCTGAATAGACCACATATTCACATTATGACACGTTCTAGAACATAGAAACACATCTCATTGTCCAACAATAGTTGTCTTCCTTGACTTTAGAGTGGTATTTGACTCCGTCAATCATGAGGTCCTATGGCATTGTTTCTCATTGAAAAGTCTACCAGAGAAGTACGTTAACTTTATACAGGGTACTACTGGTTGAATGAGAGCTTATTAGCGAACTGTCATTAGAATTGATAACTTCAAGTGGTGTTTGTCAGGAGTTTCCACTTTCGCCAGTCTTATTTAAGTTTGTGATTGACGCGCTTTTTAGGATGACACATGCATCATCTGTCTCTTTAGGAGTTGAACTTTTGCCAGGAGATTCGCTTGTTGACTTAGAATATGCCGATGACATAGTTCTATTTGGTGAAGACGCTAACAAAATGCAGTCTTCTGACTATCCTAAGCAACAATGCAAGCATGTTCGGGATGCGGTCTTCCCCCCGAAATGCAAAATACTGCTTGAGGATTGGCTTGCGTCAGTAACTGGACTAGTGATAGGGAGTGAA